GGCTGTGAGCCATCATGGCTGTGATTGCTAGGAATTGAACTCAGGGCAGTCAGTGCTCTTAACCACTGAGCCATCTCTCCAGCCTCTTCTTTTCCTTTTTGTGATGGTGGGGATTGCACAAGCTAGACAGGAGCTCTGCTACTGACCTACACCTTATTTTTTTCCCCCCGAGACAGGGTTTCTCTGTATTGTTTTGGAGGTTGTCCTGGAACTCACTCTGTAGACCAGGCTGGCCTCAAACTCACAGAGATCCGCCTGCCTCTGCCTCCAGAGCACTGGGATTAAAGGTGTGTGCCACCAATGCCTGGCTTCTTTCTTTTTGAAACAAGGTCTATCTCTGTAGCCTTGGGTGTCCTGGAACTCTATGTAGACCAGGCTGTCCTCAACATCGTAGAGATTCACCTGCCTCTGACTCCTCAGTGCTGGGAGCACAGATATGGGACACTATGTCTCTCAGTCCGACTTCTGTGTACTTTTTTCTTTAAAATTTTTTTTATTGTTTATGTGCATCAGTGTTTTGTCTGCATGTATGTCTGTGTGAGGGTGTTAGATCATGAAGTTATAGACATTCGTGAGCTGCCATGTGGGTACTGGGATTTGAACCTGGGGTTCTCTGGAAGAGCAGTCAGTGCTCTTAAACAATTGGGCCATTTCTCCAGCCCCCAGTGTGCTTCTTTTCAAACGAGGCTCAAGTTCAAGAGTTGTAAAAAAGGAAGTGATTTGTTTTCAAAGTTGTCACATCAAATTTGTAGTTCAGTGAAAGTTCACAGTAAATGTAAGGAATTGTTGATATTGATTCATGTACACACACATGCACACAAAGTGGATCTTGTTATATAGCTCTAGCTACTCTGGAATTCACAACATAGAACAAACTTGCCTTGAATTTGCACATGCTGAGATTAAAGGCATGGGCTGCTGTGCCTGAACTTGAGGCAGAGTATAATTTAAGAGAATGGAGTATATTATTCTGAGAGGCCTCCACTGGGACTGCCCCTGTCAGGTAAGAGCCAGGCCAACTCTGTGTGTATGGTGAGGGGTGGGGCAAGCTCTCCCTTTGCATTGGCCTTCGAGAGGGGGGAGAGGTCAGCACTCCAGTGGGCATCAACACAGACTCCAGCTGCGGTAGGGACATGGATTCAGACATGACCCTCTGGCTAGGCTGAGTTTCCTTTTAATTTAGTCACAGAATGTCAATTTCAGACATCAGAAAACAAATTCAGAACACTGAAAACAAACCTAGCTATCTGGGTGGTGGCATCAGCACACACCTTTAATCCCAGAAAAAAAAATAACTCACATAATTTATTGTTCAAGACTAGCCTAGTCTATTGTAAAAAAATTAAATTTTTTTTGTGAGTGTGTGGAAGCATGCATGTGGAGGCCAGAGGATAACTTGTTGGGGAAAGTTGGTTTTCTCGTTTAACCCTTGTGGGTCCTGGGAACAGAACTCAGGTTTCCAGGTTTGGTAGCAAGCATTTTGACTTGTGGAGCCATCTTTCCGGCCTTTAATTTTTGGTTTTTAAAGTGTTTTTAGGTTTATTTATGTGTAAGTATGTATGTGTACAATGTATGTGCCTGGTGCTCATGGATTTATAGATGGTTGTATGAAGTGAGAAAACATTTGCTAAATCTTGACCCAGTCTTGGGCTAAAACTGAGGCCAGCCTGACCTTCGGGCATGTATGGCACTTGACAGGCTTTCTGCTTCCCTCCCTGATCAAACACAAATACCATGGTGACACAACTGTGCCCTATTCTTATTAAAAGTTCGTATCCTGTCATGCTTGCTAACAGCCATTGAAGCTATGTCAACAGGATGTACCAAACTTGTGGTTTTTACCTTTATAAACCCCTTGCTCAGCAGGGCTGTGGTAATGCAGGACTTTAATCCCAGCACTCCAGAGGTAGGCACATCTCTACGAGTTAGAGGCCAACTCTTGGTTTAGGTTCCAGTTCCAGAACAAACAGAAATGAGATCCTGCCTCAAAAAACCAACTAACCAACCACCACCAAAAAAGATGAAGTGATTCAAAGGGGAAAATAACATAACTCTTCCCCTCCAACCCCAACTTGGGGCCACCTCTAGACTTGCAGCTATAAGAGTGCATGGCCCCAGCTGGGTCTGTATGGCTCAATAAAACTTTCAGATTCATAGGGACTCATCCTGGTCTCCTTATCTTGGATGAGAATAGCCTGACTACTAGTGATTGACTATATACAAGTTGAGAACCAAACTCTGCAAGAACAGTAGGTATTCCCAACTTGAGCCAAATCTTCAGTTCCCACCTTTAGCTGTTGTTAAACCAACCTCATGTCAGACCTCAGTATTTGGTGATTTCATGAGACATTCTGTTTTTTGGATTCCAGCTTTGTGTGTACTTACAACTTTTTGTGACATTATCTTAGCACTTTGGCCCAGGCTGGCCTAGAACTCACCCTGATAATCTTCCTCCTGCCTTAGCTTCCTAAGAGGTGGAACTAGGGATGTGAGCCACCACATCCTGCTTTTTTTGTTTGTTTTTGTTTTCCAAGATAGGGTTTCTCTGTGTAACAGTTCTGGCTGTCCTGGAAGTCACCGTGTAGAACAGGCTGGCCTTGAATTCAGAGAAATTAACTTGCCCCTCTCCAGAGTGGTGGGACTCAAGGTGTCACCACTGCCTAGTCCACCCAGCTTTTAGTCCATTCTGTACTTTAAAAACACTTAGCTGGGGGCTAGAGAGATGGCTCAGAGGTTAAGAGCACTGACTGCTCTTCCAGAGGACCTGAGTTCAATTCCCAGTACCCACAAGGTGGCTCACAACCATCTGTAATGATATCTGGCGCCCTCTTCTGACATGCAAATATGAATGCAGACAAAATATTGCATACATAATAAATAAATCTTAAAAAAAAAAAAACTTAGGCCGGGCGTTGGTGGTGCACGCCTTTAATCCCAGCACTTGGGAGGCAGAGGCAGGCGGATCTCTGTGAGTTCGAGACCAGCCTGGACTACCAAGCGAGTTCCAGGACAGCCTCCAAAGCCACAGAGAAACCCGAAGAAGAAAAAAACTAACAACAACAACAAAAAAACCTTAGCTGGACTTTGGTGGTACACGCCTTTAATCCCAGCACTTGGGAGGCAGAGGCAGGCAGGCCTCTGCCAGTTCAAGACTTACAAGAGCTAGTTCCAGGACAGCCTCCAAAGCCATAGAGAAACCTGCCCCACCCAAAAAAACCCCAAAATCAAACAAAAAAAAACCCTTAAATGGTGGCTCAGGGGGTAGAGGTACTTGCGGCCAAGTTGACAAATGAGCTCAGTTCCTAGGATCCACATGGTATAAGGAGAGAACTGACTTCCCGACATCCTTGAAGTTGTTTTCTGATCTCCATGAGTTCACAGTAGCATACACATACCCCTCCCCCAAACATACAGTACACTTAAAAAAAAAAGTATCTTGAGACAGGGTCTATTACATAGCTCTGTCTTTCTAGGACCACTTTGTAGACTAGGTTGGCTTCAACATTAGAGATCCACCTACTTGAACCTCCTGATTAATGGAAGTAAAGGTGTATACCAACATGAAGGCTTCTACCATCCTTTGTTTTTTCGACACAGGGTCTCTCTGTAGTTTTGGAGACTTGTCTTAGAACTCTTTCTGAAGACCATGCTGGCCTTGAACTCAGAGATTCACCTACCTCTGACTCCTGAGTGCTGGGATCAAAGGCGTGTGCTATCACCAACCAGCGACATTCCTTTTAAATATAACTTTTGTAATGCTTCAGGACATGTCTCACCAATTCAGATACCAGTGAAGAGAGGGAAAACCACTTTCAGGGACCTTTGATGAGAAACCATCTTGTTGTTTGCCATTTTTACTGCTGTTCTCATCCATTCCTTTCCTGTCCTTTTTAGGACAGGTTCCGAAGTCACAGAGAACACTGTCTCACCCCCCCCCCAGGAATATCTTTTTAAAATGTTCAATTTTTAGAATGAAGATGGCTTAGTAGTACAGTGATAGCTGGTCTAGTGTCAGGCTCTATGCCCAGCATAGCAAACTAACACCACCCACACCAACCTACCTCAGAGTCAAATGCAAGAGGTTATTGCAAATATGGAATTATTCTCATACTGTGCATTTATGTGTTTACACTAGGATCTCATTCTCAAGATTCTATCCAATTCGAGTAACTCCCTAGCCCCTGATGTTGAGCACTTCTTGTCCCAAATACTTAGCTGAGATATTAAAATTCAAATAGAAACTGTCAGATCGGAGTTTCCAAAAGGGCAAGAATTCTATATTTGATTTGGTTTTATATAGTTCTGAGGTAGGGTCTTTTAGTCCAGGCTAGCCTCAAATTTGATAGTTAAAGATGACCTTGAACTCTAGATCCTGCCCATAAGTTGTAGATTCACAGGCACACACATACCAATATACTTTGCTCCAGTTCTTAAAACAAAAACAAAAAAATGGGATGGGAAGGATGGAACCAGAAAATCATATATACTTGGCTACCTGGCACTTACTTTGGAGGTCATAGTTTGAGGTCACCTTGGTTACAGAGGGAATTCCAGACCAGCCTGAGCTACAGACTGTGTTCTAATAAAAAAACAAATGTGAGGATTATTTGAAATTCCTTTTCTAGTAGTTATCCTTGAAGTATTCCAACTTTGGGAAAGCATCAATAGGCTCTGTAGAAGTCAAATGTACTTTTACAGACATTGTAAAGGAACAGATGAAATGCTGAAGTGAATTTTCACACTAACTTACCCCTCAAAACAGGGGACTTTCCAGATTTAAAATCAAGACCCACTGTTCAGGTCGTCAGACATGAAGACATGCTGGGTGGACCTATTATCAACATTCCTCTTAAAAACAATTCAGGGGCCAGGAATGTGGCTCAGTGATACAGCACTTGCCTATATATTTGAGGCCCTGCATTCCACCCCTAGCAATATAGGGGGCAAATGGGTTTTAGGTCTTAGAAACCCTATTTTAATAAATAAAAGAAAAACAGAAATTTTAATTTATAAAGTTTTATTTTGTATATGTGCTAGATCTTACGAACTGCGGACAATCTTTTATGTCAGTCTGTTGGCTTGTAAAAGGCTAAGAAGTATGTGAGATTTGGGTGGTGAAATTTCCTTTTGGGAACCCCAATTCCAAAAGAAAAAAAATTGCACTCATTAAGTGACTTTAAAATGTGGTTCACCTTCCCCCTTACACCTGGAAGTTTGGAGGACAAGTGCTACATACTTCTGCAAACACAAAATAAGTTAGAAATACAATCGGCAGCAAGTTCTTAATACATTCAGCACTTTTGTAGTGACTTATCACACCCGAAACCTTATTTTCAATATGCAACACTCAGGTAGGTGCAGGACCAGTTCTTGTTGGGCCCTATGATAAAACCAGTACTGAGAATGGTTTTGTTGGTAACACAAAAGCTGGGGCAAAGGGTGCTGTTTTCCTTTATCAGCAGTCTGTATGTCCTCGTACCTTCAAACTAGAAATCAAAACTGGGCACTTATCCCCCAAAAGGCAATTTTTCTAAAATTCTAAATAAGGCAGGATATAGCCACCAAATTAACCAGAAAAAATCAACAAAATAAAATAGTCCATGGGAGAACATAACCTGGAAAAAATACTAATAAAAACCCGAAGAACTATTCCAAAGTAGTCACCTGAATATTCAGACTGTTACTTTCCTTTATAAAAGTAATTCAAATAAAAAAGGCTCCTCATCATTTTAACCAATGAGGATTAAAGACTTATGTTGTTAATGTTCACTAATAAAAGATAAACATGAAAATAGAAAACATTTGAATAATTCTAGGTCTGTATAATTATAGCTGAGACAAAAAAGCTGGGAGATTATCACTGAGAAAAATCAATGAAAAGAAACAAAGCCCAAATATGATTATGTTTATATTTCTGCCTCTGTGACGCTGAACATGAGAATTTGTTTGGTGGAGGGCTTAGAAACAGCAGCAATATGGTGTTTACCAAGTTGTACATGGAAATACTTAGATCCGACTGGGCAAAGTCCCAGTTCATATAGTTTCACAACTAAAATCTCTTCAACCTTTATGTTAACAGATTCTACTGTCTTCAATAGAGTAATCATGCCATTTAGAAACGTGGGAGTTTTTCAAAGGAAGACTAGTGATTCTGCAACAAACATTTAAAGGAGGAAACATATGGCTCAAAAGAATTAGTTGAGAGAATCAAATAATTTTTAGGCACTTTAAGACTTGAAATTTAAAACGTGCCACTTGTTTTAGAGAAAGACCTCAAAATCACCACTATGTTGCTCTTACAATAACATGCATCTTAAAATTTCCTGTTATACATTAATGCTTGAAGAGTTAAATATAGAAAATAATTTGCACAAACAAACAAAAATAACTCTGTTCATTTTCCCTCACTCATGGTCACAACACAGACCTCAAATGGAGGGAAACATGACTCAGAAGCCCTCATTAGGAACTGGTGGGCTTATATACACTCAAAGCAACTAATGGGAAGGGAGGAATCCCCCCATGACAAAAAATTCACAGCCTTTGAAAAATGTCAAGTTTTCTCTTATCTAGGAAGTCACTAAGTTTTATGTATTTCATAATTTCATTGTTAAGGAGCAGAAAATATCAACTTGTCTGTCAGATGGTAAGATAATGTAACTAGTACCAGTTACTCATCCAAACAAAGCTAACCTATTTCACTACGTGAGGAACTTTGAAATCTTCCAGTTGGAAAGGCAAACACTGTACAACCTTTGCTCAAACTTCAATTCAGGCTGGAGGTGCAGTTCAGTGGTAGTGCACTTGCCTGGAGTGCTTGAGGCCCTGAATCCCCAGCAATACAAAAACCAAAACCAAAAACAAAAAAAAGCAAAATCTGATGTAAACAGAATCTGTCTAGTGTCAAAAGTTGCTAAAATTACAGGAAGCCTAGAAGCAGGACTGTGGAATACTGCAAATAATATACCCAAAGCTTTATCTTAAATACTGCCCCTTTTAAATCACAAAATAACATGAATGCTCAATTTTGCTTCTGCTTTGACCAGTGCCAACTACAGCCTGCCAACATTTTCCTATCAACTGAAATGTAAAAAATACAACCAAGCTTGTGCTCATTAAATACACACGTATATAAAAAAAATACAAAAAGTACAAGATTGATTGTTAGGGGAACTTTTACAGCATCAACAGCCTGTTCTCCAAGTCTTTAGTAAGGAGCCAATCTTTCTGTGCACAAAATATGCAGTCTTAAAAAAAGAGGGATAAAAAGAAGGTACCAAAACTCCAAACACACCACAGGACAAAAGTTCTTCTTAAATCAAATTCTATTTGCGAATTCAGCAAAATAATTTCTATAAAATAAAACAGCAAAATATTTAAATAGAGTGGGCTGTATCTGTTTGCAGGGGTATTTGGTTTTAGACAGTTTCCAAAAATTACACACATTCAAGTCACCAATTGTCTTTGAAATACAGTATTAACTGATGAATTCCTTTATCTTCATTCAAATTGTTTATTCTAAAATTGTGATACCTCAATTATATTAACTACCAGTAATTTTTTTATTTTTAAATTAAACCCTGCTTTGAATGTTTAAAATTTTTGGAATGGAAAAGGAGCTAGGATAATTCTTGCTTTCAAGTAAAATTATGACTGAGCAGAGAATCAGTCAGACATCTTGGTGCAGAGGTACTCCAAAGACTGTGGGGTTCTGACTTCTGCATCACCGGGGTCCAGCAGAAGGACGGTTTAAGAGTTACTTAGTAAGCTCTACCAAAGAACAAAACAAGCACACCAAATACAGTCTTCTACTAGGCTCCAGTCAGCATCCTGGCATAGCAAATTTTTGCATGTTTTAAAATCTTTCAAAATTCCTACCACTAAATCGTAAATTTAAGTGTTCTTTATTTTACCCAGAGATCTGCACTGTCAAACGAGAAGGAACATGTGTGCAATTGAGAACTGCCTGCTTGCCACAGTTATCCCCTCAGCCTGTATTTTATAGTCTAGGGTTTAAGAAGGAAAGCTCCGAGCAATGCAGCCTCCATGTCAGGACAACTGCAGTCATTATGGTAATATTTCCTCATTGGCTACACTAACTTGTGTGAAGCCATGCTAAATGTTACAGCATATCTATAGCTTCAAAGTGATTAACCTAACATCAGAATAAAAAGGCAATGAAAAAGATCTAGAAACATAGTACATCACCAATTTTCCACATCAACCAAATAATTAAAAGGTAACCAGCCTTACATTGCTCATAAAATTGACTCCAGTGGTAAAGAACGAACACGAAACTATTGGTGTGACATGAATGGGTTGTTTTGTTGCTGTTGGTTTACTTTTTGTTTTTGTAAAGGAGGTGATCCAACTGCCACAAGGTAGGCAACACTGGCTGCAGAGTGCAGTGGGTATAACAAGAAAATTAATGTAGTTTTTGTAGATCTGTGAGTCTCATCAAGGAAAAAAAAGTTTCTTGCTTAAGAATTAACAGTCAAACATTAATATACTATATACACCTTTGCCATTTACACATTAGCATCAGGCCATTTATTACAAAACACTATACACTTCCACTGCAGGCTGGTTATATATTGACAGCATATTTCTGCAGATAAGACAGTGAATAAACTCTCCTCTCCATGTTGATTAGGAATAGTTTTTCTAGTTTTAAATATTAGCCAGATACAGAAAAAATTGGACTGTAAGGCCTGGGTGCACAGTCTTGATGGAACCAGTTAATATGTGCATTTCACTGATCCTTAGTCTGAGGTGGGGACACTTCTTCACTGCCTTCATAATTTTCTTGTGCTCGTTGGCCAGTTCTCTGAGGGTTATTCATGTGATGTGCTGCTGGGCCTGTATATGGCTGTCCATGCACATGGTTATTCTGAAAGACAAGAGAATTCTGTGCATTATAATTTTTCCAGGGCTGGAGAAATGATTAGAGGTTAACACTGTGCACAGCACCCATGTCAGGTGGCTTATAACATAACTCCAGTCACAAGATCTGACACCCGAGTCTCTGCAATTGACACTCACTTGAATATATATACAATACCATAATTAAACACAAAATAGATATAGGAAAAAACAAACCTATCCAACAGCAAGCACACTTTAAAACCATGAGTTGAAATTGGTGGCAATGCAACATTTTGTTTTATTCTTAGGATTAACCTTTAAACACACTTGCCTAATGATGAAAACTGGTTGAAAAAGAAAAACCTTACGGGTAAATACAAACTTTGGGACCCTAAAGACTGGGTAGGTCTGTATAAATCTTTGTCCAAAGTGATTTTTAGTGTCAAATATGTAAATTTAGGGACTAGAGACAGCTCAGTGGTTAAGAGCACAGGCTGCTCTTATAAAGGAACTAGATTTGATTTCCCGCACTCACATAGTGGCTCACAACCATCTTTAACTCCAGTTCCAGGGCTTCCAGCTCATTTTATACATGCTGAGAAAAGACTATTAATAGACATTAAATAAGAAAAAAGTAAATGCCATTATTAGTACATGTATAGGTATATATATCATAGAATGTATGTGAAGGAGTTATCTTCTTCTACTGTAATGGTCCTAGAGACTGAACTCAGGTGGGGCTTGTATGGCAAGAGTCTTTACCCACTGACCCATTTTACCACCCTAGTGCCAAAAATTTAGGTGTAAGCCTGACAAATTAAAATTCCCCATTACTATTCTTGGTTTAGTTTTCATAAAGAATGATGTGAGGGCTAGCCTACATGATGAATGCTGTCTCTTTCACAGGATAAACCTGATTTAACCATGACCTGAAATCCACAGGTGCACTTGCTTATACAGACAGAATTATTAATGTTAACTATTAATGCTACTGAAGTCACAACAAGGCTGAAGAAAAAGTAACCAGGCTAGATTAATATATGAGCTGGCCTTGAAACCCACTGTGTTGCCTTGCCTGGTGATTCAAGCCTTTAATCCCAGCACTCAGGGGGCAGAGGTAGGCGGATGTCTGAATTAGAGGTCAGCCTGGGCTATACAGAGAAACCCTGTCTCTACAAACAAAAAAAACCCCACTTTGTCAGCCATGCTGTCTCTACCTCTCCCGGTAGTGGAATTACAGATATGTGCCGCAGCAAATTTTTTTTCATCTTTTTAAATGCCTGAACCTGACAGGGTAAGGTTCTTTATAATCCCAAAAGCCAGGCCAAGATTTTAGGCTTAATGTTCTATTATTCTAGATTATGAAAATAAGCACTAATCATTCTTTGTGGTTTCACTTATACCCTAAAATATAAGGCTGCTTTCAGCGCTGTTCTCATGGCATGCTTTGCAGACCAGCAACACTTGGGAATTTACAGACTGTCAACAGATCTCAAGTCCCTATTCCCCAAAAGACCACATTCTTAATATGTATCAAACTCAGATATTTGCCCATCTCTGTCTCCTGAGTGCTGGGACTAAAGGTAAGTCATATACTCTTGATGAATTCTAACGCTTTTGTACCGTGTTAGGAACCGATGTCCATTTGTGTACTACTCCCACCTCAAAACATTTGGTCACATCCACATTTTATGAATGTTCCCATTTAGGATATTATCTCTTTACCTACTTTTGTAATTTGACAATTAATCACCTGTAGAAATATGCCAAATTCCCCATTAATTTTTACTGTCAACCTAATTCCAGGTAATTAAGCAACATTATTTCATTGCCATATATCTTTGTGTTTTCAGAATCCACTTGCAGTCTTAGCCTAAGGAGTGTCACCATAATCCTTCACACTAAGAAAGGATTATCATTTTTTTTGCTCAGAAAAATCATGCAATTTTACTCACACTCTATATAAGACATACCTATCTGGTAAAGGAACCGCATCACTGAGGCAAGTTAAATTTGCACTATGACCCCACTCCAAGCATTCTTTTGATGATGTACCCAGAGTTAGTTCAGATATCTCTGAGTTCACAGTCATGGTAAAAAGTCATCCTTTACAATTAAGCAAGAAATTGGTTCTAGAGCAGTGGTTCTCAATCTGTGGTTGCAACCCCTGGGGGTGGTCCAATTGATTCACAGGGGTCACATATCAGATATTTATGAGTCGTAACAGTAGCAAAATTACAGTTATGAAGTGGCAACAAAAATAATTTTCTGATGGGGAGCAGCACAACTTGAGGAATTGTATTAAAGGGTTGAAGCATCAGGATGGTTGAGAACCACTGAAGAAGTTAACCCCACTATCTGACTCCCCGTTTACCTGCTGATATTGAGATCCAGGGGAATGGGGGTATAATGGGGCATCCTCTGGTGGAGGTGACTCATGCTCATCTGGGGCATCTTGGTCATCTGGTTCCTAATTTTAAAGAAAAAGAATTATGCAGGTAACATCGAATTCACTGCTGACTTTGCCTGTTGACTTAGGAACAACTTTTAAAAACCGTGTTATAGCCGGGTGGCGTGGCACACGCCTTTAATCCCAGCAGTCAGGAGGCAGAGGCAGGTGATCTCTGTGAGTTTGAGGCCAGCCTGGTCTACAAGATTGAGTTCCAGGACAGGCTCCAAAGCCACAGAGAAACCCTATCTTGAAAAACCAAACCAAAACAAAAACTGTGTTATAGTAATTCCTGCAATCTAAGGCTCAGGAAACCTCCCTAAATCACTGAGGGGGCAGAAGATTATAAGAGTCAGAGGAACATGATGTCTCTTGTGAGACTCTGTCTCCTCTCCTAGAAATGCCAGGGAAGCCACATCCATGAAGTTTCAACATCACGGCTGCCTAAACAGGGACACCAATATATTTACTAACATGGAAAGAGGAAAACTCATGAGAGTTCAAGCTTAGACAGAGAACTATAGGTAAAGAAAGAATGTTGAAAGCAGGAAAATTATATCCCCCAGACAGGGAAGAGTCACCCAATACCAAATGGTGAGTCCTAAAGTAATACACATATAAGTAACTATACACATTGAGCAGGTTATTTGTAGATTTAGGGAAATTTTACACACACACACACACACAGAAAAAATCTGAGTCAGAAGTAGGAGTACCTAAAAGGGGGGGGAAATAATGTGGTTATATTTTAATTTGAAAAAATTGACCTTCACATGTGCACACACATACAGAGTAAATGAATGTCAAAGGGGGTGGGGGGATAGGGCTGGAGAGATGACTCAAGAGGTAAAAGGCACTTGCTACTCTTCTAGAGGACCCAGCTCCAGGGGATCCAACATCCTTTCTTCTAACCTCCATGAGTACCAGGAAGGCACATGATACACAGACATACACGAAGACAAAACACTCATACGCATAAAGGCTTAAAGATTCCTAATTCGGATTCTATTAGAAATGCATTTCTGAGGTTATAGCACAGTTATTTCTCCTGAAAGAGACACCCTCATTAACATATCACTAAATATTAAGGCAAACACAACTCTAGTGAAGCCTTTAAGAAATAACACAAACCTGGCGTTGGTGGCGCACGCCTTTAATCCCAGCACTCGGGAGACAGAGGCAGGTGGATCTCTCTGAGTTCGAGGCCAGCCTGGACTATAGAGCGACAGCCTCATAACAATACAGAGAAACCCTGTCTTGAAAAACCAAAACCAAAACCAAAACAAACCAAAAACAAACAAAAAAACCATCAAAACAACAAAAAGAAATAACACTATTAATGCATAACCAGTGGCCTAATAGAGAATTACTTTGCTTTCTTCCATTTCTATCTCTTGTAGACTGGTGGCTTTTTTTACCTCCTCAGGACAGAGTTCACAAGCTTTTGCAAGTGTCATCCTAGCGCTATGTGATCTCTCCAAGAAATAGCCATTTGATGTTTCATTGCTTTGCACTGGGGGAGACCAATTGTTGTAAGTGTATTGAGGATTGCCAGTGTATGGTCTTCTTTCGAGCTCATCTCCAAGCCATTCCACCGCCCAGGTCCATTTCCTTTTAAGATCTCCATTGCCCTTCAAAAGTAAAACCATATACACACGTAAGAGGATTTGGAGTATCTCAAAGAAAACTTAAAATGGTAATCACCCTACAACCTCAGGATTCTGTTCTTTTTTCTTCTTGAAATAGAGTCTTGTAGCCCTGGCTGTCTAGTAACTGTTATACAGTTCAGGATGCTGTTGAACCTGTCATCTTCCCGCCTTAGCCTTGAATGTTAGGATTATAGATGTACACCCACCATACCTGGATTAAACAGGATCTTAATGTCATTTTTCCTTTCTTATTGTTTGTGGTGCTAGGGATTTAATGCCAAAGCTTTTTACATTCTGGGTAAGCAGTAATAATACACAGGAACTATAGCCTTAATCCTTTAAAACAGGATCTTAACTCTTGATTGAAATTTCGATGAAATTACAAGAAAACCACCCTCACCTGTAGGATCTGGTAAGCAACAGGACAGCTGCTAAAGAGAGCTACCATACATTTTATACACTGGTATGCTCTTTTTTGATAGTGATTCTTAGAACGCTGGATTGTGTCAAACAGCCCATCTCGGTCATCTGGAATTCCTTTAAGGGCATTATGAATTCTGAAAAACAATCAGAAGATAAAAACTTCTAAAATCTAATAGAAGCAAACTTTTATTATCTATTACATGCCACCCAGTAAATGTTTGTGAGTTCAGTTCTTTCGTGCTTGACAGTTAAGTGCTACTATTAAACCTTGGAGAAGATGACAAAATAAACTGCTTGCCTAGGGTTATACAGCTGCCAACCAGTCTGACTTAAATCTGTGCCCTTACTAACTTTTCAAAGTGCTTTTGTTATGAAGTTTACATACTTTACCAGAAGCAAAGTCAGGACACTCAAGAACACAAAATTAAACAAGTTCACAAATACCATAGTTGTAAATAATTTGCTTTATTTTCGTCTTTTGTTTTTGAGAAAGGGTCTCATTATGCAGCACAGAATGGCTTTGACCTCTCAATCTGACTGTCACAGCCTCCCAACTGCTGAGATTACATGCTTGTGGCACCATGCCCAGTGCCTGTTTATTTTGTTAGACATTACCTGCCAATAAACAAAATATGACATACCTGTAAGATAAGCTATCATTCAGTCATAAAAAGGAAATAAAATACCAATATGCTATAATATAAATGAACCTTGCAAACATTACACTGAAGGAAAGCATTAGACACAAAATGCTGAATGGTATAACTATTTTGGCAAAATGGTAATAGGTAAACTCACAGAAGAAAGACGATAATGGTTACTGGGGTGGGGAAGGACCAAGAGTGTCTAAACGGGTATAGGCTTCTTGCTGTTTGATCTAAGATATCACACATAAATTCTACTTTTCTTTTTGAAGGGGAGCAGTGCTGAGGGCGAGGGCCAGCCTAACCCATATTAGATAAGTGCTGTCACTAAGCCATCCCTCACCTTTACCTTCATTTTTGCCAACTGGCATGAAGTGCTAAAACATTACTTTTGTCATATCATGTTTTTTCCCACTAATATCAATAGCTTCCCAAATACCATCTTTAAGCAGTACTATCTTTGTGTTGCTTCCTCATGTCTAGTGATGCAGGACATATGGGAAGATGCTATAAATACTTATTGAGCTAAAAACACACAAACAAACAAACAAACAAACAAAAAACCCCTTATGAGATTTCTTTCCCTTCCTTGTTGCTGTTTTTTTTTTTCAAGACAGTGTTTCTCTGTGTAGGCTTGGCTGTCCTGGAACTCACTTTGTAGACCAGGCTGGCCTCTAACTCAGAGATTCATTTGTTCTCTATGAGATTATTTTCAAGCTTGAGTTAAAATGACTACATTATTTCTCACAGTTAATCCAACCTATGTTTTCATTATATTATATGTATAAAAATATACACTTTCCCCCTATTTTTTGAGAAAGGATTTTACTATGTAGCCTTTGCTGGCTTAGAACTCAAAGAGATCTACCTGCCTCTGCACAGTGCTGGGATCCATATATGCCATCACTTCCAAAAAGCTATACAATATTACAGTTTTGTTTTTTTTTTCAAGACAGGGTTTCTCTGTATTGTTTTGGAGGCTGCCCTGGAACTCGCTCTGTAGTCCAGGCTGGCCTCAAACTCAGAGATCCGCCTGCCTCTGCCTCCTGAGTGCTGGGAATAAAGATGTGCGCCACCAATGCCTAACCAATCTTACAGTTTTAAAAAGGAAAATACTAGAAAGGTACACTACAATATATGTATCACATATATACCTAGTGTCTTTAGCAGGTAGAAGGTGTCAGATCCCAGAAAACTGGAGTGACAGGGTTTTAAGACACTATGTGGGTGTTAGAAACTGAACCTTTCATCTCTAAAAGATGGCTGAGACATTTCTACAGCCCCAAGAATGGATAATTTAAAAATCAGTACATAAAGTGCTTTTGTTAGCTGCCTGTAATCATGCACAAAGGAGCAAATAAAAAGCTTCCCAGAAGTAGCAAAAGTGACCCCACCTTGTTTCACCTTCAAACTATGAACAAGTATCCTCTTTGCTGTTTTTTTTTTTTCCCGAAGCAGGGTTTCTCTGTATTGTTTTGGAGGTTGTCCTGGAACTCCCTCGGTAGACCAGGCTGGTCTCGAACTCACAGAGATCCGCCTGCCTCTGTCTCCAGAGCACTGGGATTAAAGGCGTGCACCACCAACACCCGACTTCCCCGTTGCTAGTTTTTTTTAAAAGATTTATTTATTTATTTGCTTATTTATTATGTATACAGTGTTCTGCCTACATGTATGCCTGCTGGACAGAAGGCACCAGGTCTCATTACAGATGGTTGTGAACCACCATGTGGTTGCTGGGAATTGAACTCAAGACCTTTGGAAGAGCAAGTCAGTACTTTTAACCTCTGAGCCATCTCTCCAGCCCCCCTCATTGCTGTTTTAAATGGCCTTGAAGGCCAGCACTGAAATACCCTAGTGCTGTCTAGTATTCCTCAACTGTGATGTATCTTACAGAAAATGTGTACTAGAAAAGTTCACATCAGGTGTGAGTTGTAAGTTGTTGGCTGTACATTCAATGTTAATGAGTTAGTACTACATTGTTTATTAAGATCACCAAACACATTCCTGTGTGTGTACCCTTACCGACTGAGTAGTCTTGCTGGCCGACCTTAAGGTTGGTCTCTTTTTACTTTTCTTTTTGAGACAGTCTCTCTGTAAGCCCTGTCTAGTCTGGAACGCAGAAATCCACCTGTCTTTGACTCCCAAGTGCTGGGATTAAAGGCATGCATCTCTATGTTTTGCTTACCTAAGGACTACCTTTAGGTAACTACATGTTTGTGCCATGAGGTTAGTTCTAAAACTAATATAATCTAAATGTAAAATAGTCCTTGGTAATCCTTGGGCTTAAATGAATTCCTATGTATACAAAGTTTATTGATGGTTTGTTTTAATTAAAAGCCCATTCAGTTAAATGTTAAAAGACTATTTACCTGTGAGTCTGCCAGGAGTCTTCAATCAGTAAGATTTGCAAAAGCAGATCCAAATAGGGGCGGAGTTCATAAGTATAGGAATATGCAACCTAGAAATAGGGAAGACACAGTGAGTAATGGATAAATGGGTAACAAATCATCAAGTCATAGAGATTTAGCAATGGTTATGTTCTTAACCTGCCAAAGAAGTTCACTGAGGACGGTAGATGAGAACTGAGGATTCTCCCAGCAGCAAAAGCGAAGCAATTTGACGGTCTCATCAGAGTTACTGCAGTCTTCGATAATTTTCTTCACATAACTTGTTCTCACAAATAAAATGTCTACCACATTTTGTTGAATTGGCATTATAGGTTGTGATAAATTAGGATCACCAAAAGGATTTGGAAGAGAAGGATTACCTACAATACAGATTTGTCACCAATGAACAACCAACAAGCTTCTCTACAGTAACAATGCAGATAACCTCATAAATTTGTTTTAGAAAAGTAAGCTGTAGAGGCCAAGTTTCCTAAGCATAATGAAGAAAAGCAGTACTATGCATTACAATGATGATGTATACTAATCATGAAAAATTTCACATATTTAACCCAGTAGAAAGCAGGAAAAGACTCATATTAATCATGTGAAAAAGGTACAGGACTTCAAATATTATAAAATATTGCAAACATGGACCTTCCTTAACACCCTTACTTTGTATTTAATTATATTCCAGTATTACATTTAATCTAGTTCTGATCTGACCCAGAGTATTCAAAACTATTGGCAAGAATACATTACCATTGATTGAAGACTGCATTCTTGAGGAGACATTGCAACAGCGGATTAGCTGTGACACTACTGAGTATAATTTGCCTAATTCAGCATACTGATATTTAATTGGAGGACCAGGACCTTCATCTAAGGACACAAGCATAAAGGTAGCAGGTACACTCAGTTTCAGCAGCTGTGTCTTCTCTGCCACTCCTATAGTCAAAAAGAGACAGGAAACAGGCAGAGAAGGAGAAAAATGGGGAAGGAAACATTAGCATGGAAAGAATTTTGTGAAAACCAGCAGTTATCATTTCCTCGATCTTATGTGTATTCATCATGAACATGTCTGTGAAGACCAAAGTTTTGTTGAGAATCTTCCTCAAAAGCTCTTCTACCTTATCCTCTGTGGCAAGTTCCCTCAGAACTAGAACTTGCAGAGAGAGTTCACCTTACTAGCCAGCTTGCTTTGCAGATCCCTTGTCTCAACCTTTTCAGGCTGGAATTACAGGCAAACTGTCATATCCCACATGAGTTCTGAGAATGAGTTAAATTATTTTTTTTTTTTTTGGTTTTTCAAGACAGGGTTTCTCTGTGGCTTTGGAGGCTGTCCTGGAAGTAGGTCTTGTAGACCAGGCCAGCCTCGAACTCACAGAGATACGCCTGTCTCTGCCTCCCGAGTGCTGGGATTAAAGGCATGAGCCACCAACGCCTGGCGAGTTAAATTCTTACATATTGTTTTTACTTGGACTCCGACTTATTTAACTAGGATAAGAAATTTGCCACTTTAGCAGTTTCAATATTGAATTCTATACAAAACATTGACCATTTGACTCTGAGTATGTAGACAGGACAGGGAAGACCCTATAGCCTGGAAAATTTAAAGTTTAGATGAGAACTAGCCTGTAGCTCCTATTCTAAGAGTGCCTAAAGTGAGAAATAGGGTTGTGATATGCAGTATAGGCTGGAGAACACAACCAACCACAGAGACAAATGAGAAGTAAAGAGGGCCATGAATCATAAGTATTACTTGGGCATAGAACTCAAATTTCAATGTAAAAGTTGTGTGTATGTGTTTTTTTTTCCCCCGAGACAGGGTTTCTCTGTATTGTTTTGGAGCCTGTCCTGGAACTCACTCGGTAGACCAGGCTGGTATCAAACTCACAGTGATCCGCCTGCCTCTGCCTCCCGAGTGCTGGATTAAAGGCATGCGCCACCAACACCCGGTTGTGTGTATGTGTTTTTTTTGGCAAACTTTTAAATACATTATTAAAATAATTCTCTAAGTTTCTGAATCAGTTCTGAATATGGTCAAATAGAACTATCACTATTACAGAATTTGTCAATAGTTACTTTAAGGTCAGTAGTGATAACAACAACTTACTGGATATGGATACATATACACACACATGTATACATAAATATACTCCTTCTCCAAGATAGGGTTTTTCTGTGTAGCTTTGGCTATCCTGGAACTCAGAAATCAACCTGCCTCTGCTGTGCTGTGATTAAAGGTGTGTGACACCATTACCCAGCTTGCAATTTTTATATTTCTATTATAATAGGACAAGTATCTCCTGTCCAAGATAATTAAAATAAATACCAAAACCCAAGAATTATGTTACTTGTTTTTGAGATACAATCACTTTGTCACTCTGGCTGGTCTGAAACTCACAGATCAGTCTGCCTCCCTAGTGCTAAAATTAAAAGTGTAACCCCACATTTTAGCTCTGGAAATGCACATGTTCGTGGTAGACAAGTGTTCTCCCCCAATTCAATCTTTTGCAACAAAATAAAAGAGTGGAAGACAATAGTACAGATCTAGTAGTAACTAAAAAAGAATGAGCAGGTGACATTAATATTAGAAAGAGCAAGCTACTTTGAGAACGGAAGCTGTCAAACAGATGTAGCACTGTTCCAAGGGATCCAACATCCTAATACAGACATATATGCAGTCAAAATACCAATGTATATAAAATAATAAAGCAGAAAGATGCAGTATCATTGCTTAAGGAGGCAAAATTTAACAGAATTTCATTTGTGTTTACCAGAGAAATACGAGGCACACAGGGGAAAAATTCTGTATCTGGAAGTTTGATACAAAGAAAAAAAAATCTTTGTATTTCATCATTTGACCTTCTGAATGTCCTTATCATTTAACATAACACTGTAACAGAGATCATGAAAATTTCAATTCTTACCTAAATTGGCATACATTACAAACAAGTTGAAATACTGCTGTAAATGGCGTCCATGCTCTGAAACTTCCCTCCTCAACAGATTTAGTACTGCTCTTAGTAAGTGGTCACTCAAGCTTAAGTTGTCATAAGCCTGTAAAGGAGAAAACACTAATTCTAAGCAAAGTACAAAGATAATTATATTCCTGTAAAAAGGGGACATGTATGTGTATGTTGAACACAAGAATACTGTTCTGGAATGACTTATCACATGAACTCTACCCACCCTGCCTACCACCAGTAAATTGATCTTGTGTATGCTAATGCTAGAGCGCTAGAGAAGAGCTTTGCCACTGAGCTATATCCCAATACTTCTTCTTACTAATAGAGAAGGCTCTCAACTAAGTTGGCCCAAGCTGGTTTTGAATTTGCAATTCTCCAGCCTTACCTTCTAAAGAGGTTGAGATTGTAGGCCTGTGTTACCAACTATTAAAAGAACTGATTCTTGGCAAAAGGAATGAAGATCTCAAGTAGGTTTCCTATTTTTTCTTTTTCCTTTTTGTTTTGAGACAGGGTCACTATATACAGAACCCAGGTTGGCTTTGAACTCTTAACCCCAATGCCTCAGCTTCCCAAGTAGCAGAGTTACAGGCATGGACCACCACACCCTGCTTTTGAGTTAAATACTTTTCACTTTGGTGCAATTAAAACCAAAAAAATGTTCACATAAAAACCCCACCAAAATAAGATATGAAAATCTCACATGGAAATACTATTATGTAAGCTAGTTAAAAAATAGGGCTGGTAGACAGGTGGTGGTGGAGCATGCCTTTAATCCCAGCACTCTGGAAGCAGAGAACTCACTCTATGAGTTTGAGACTAGCCTGGTCTACAGAGCAGTTCCAGGACAGGCTCCAGAACAGCTACACAGAGAAACCCTGTCTTGAAAACAAAGCAAAACAAAAACAACAACAAAAAAAGTGTTGGTGAGAGGGTAAAGGATCATACCACCACCCAGAGGACTGGGAGTTTGATCCCTAGGACCCACACGATGGAAAGGGAGAACTGACACCTAAAAGCTGACCTTTACAATTGTGCTGTGGAACAATACCATATACAAAATAAATGTCTAAAAAGTACCCATGCACGTGCACGCACGGACACAGACACTCCCTCTATTTCTTTAAGAAAACTCCCTTTTGTGCTAGGAATGAAACCAGAGCCTCGGTACATTTTAGGAATGCTCTACCACTGAATCATACTCCAGCCCACCCACACATTTTTAAAGGTCAAATAATAATTGTTGCTTTTTACATAGTAATTTTAATGGAATTCAGGCTTCAGGCCTTGTTACCATAGTAAACACTTAAAAAAATTTCAGGTTTCTCTCTTCAACTTCAGGAAAACAACATGCCACCTTTTCTTTGTAAATACACAAATAATTATAAACAAAGGTACAATTACCTGACTAGAAGGTCCAGGAGATGCAAAAGGTGAAGGACATGGTCCATCTTGCAAGGAAAAATGTGCAATGAAAACTATAAGTTTAGCAAATGCACCTCTCACTTCTGCACTAGGGCATTCCAAAAGGTATTCAGAGAATCGATTTGAAACATTAAAGAGGACATTGTGAGCAAACCAAAATCGCACATTCTTGCTATGACGAAGGAGAATACATAATGCATCATACCTAAAACAAAACAAAACAAATCATCTATTCAGTTCACTGGATCTCTAAGACACAACAAAACACAGCAAACATCTAAGGCAGCAGCAGTAATGACCATTTCTAGTATTAACACTAAAATGACTGATGAGGAACTGGACATGGTGGATCACGAGTGGATCTGAGCTCTAGGTTAGGGTGGTCTATAGAAAGTTCCAGGCTAGACATGTCTACACAGAGAAACCCCATGGGGGTTGGAAGATAGATGAATACTATATGACCTGGTCCAATCTTAAGAATTACAAAATAGATGAAAGCTTGTACTGGTTACTAAAAAACCATTATTAGCCAGGTGGTGTGGTGCCTGATCTACAGAGTTCCAGAAGAGCCAGGGCTACACAGACAAGCCCTATCTCAAAGAAATAAAACCCTAAAAAACAAAATATATTATTAAATGATGACAAAATAAATACCTTCTTTCCTTACTGGAGTATCTTCTAGATAAGCAAAAAGTTTTTTACTTTGTGTGTGTGTGTGTGAGAGGGAGAGAGAGGGAGAGAGAGAGAGAATAAATAGTAGATTGTCTCCTTCCACTATGTGGGTTCTGGGGATCAAACAGGCTCGGTGGTAAGAGTTTCACCCACTGAACATATTTTATTGGTCCTTAATAAGTAACAATTGTGAAAAAGACATAGCTGGGCATGGAGGCACACACCTTTAGTCTAGAACTTGGGTATAATGGCCTCTATACTTTTTTAGCAATTTTTTTGAGACAGGGTTTTTCTATGTAATAGCTCTATCTGTCCTGGATCTGCCTGTCTCTGCCTCCTGAGTGCTGGGACTAAAGGCGTGCACCCCCCCCCCACCTTTTTTTTTTTTAAGTAAATTTTTTTTTTGGTTTTTCGAGACAGGGTTTCTCTGTGGCTTTGGAGGCTGTCCTGGAACTCCCTCTGTAGACCAGGCTGGTCTCGAACTCCCAGAGATCCTCCTACCTCTACCTCCTGAGTGCTGGGAATCAGGCGTGTGCTACCACCACCCGCCTAAAAGCAATTTTTTACCCTTTAAATTTATACCAAATATTTCAGCATGAGTTCTCTCATTATGGTTACTATTTTGTGAAAAAATTTCTGCCTTTTAAATCTGAAACAATAATCTTATGGTGTTGACAAAGTAAAGTACTCTATTAAAGAACCCAACAAATAGGAATAAAAATCCAAAACAAGGTACCAATCACTGGCAGATCCACGGACTATTTTCTTTGTGTGAAATCCTGTAGTAAAGAGGAACCTGGCAGCAAGCTGAATACTAATCATAGTGATTTCTTCTGCTTCAGGAGACAGGTGATCTTGTCCTAAAAACAAGCAAATAAACACACATAGATTTAAAAAACAACTTAAATTTCTGTTCAAGCCCCATTTTCAAACAAGTTTGTACTTTGTATTTTTAATTTGTTAAAATAATAGAATTCTTCTTAGATTACTTATAAAAAATTATCATTCCTGAATTTAGCACTTAACACAAACAAAAAAGCCAGCCATGGTAGTTCACCACTTTAATCCCAGCACTCAGGAGGTAGAGGCAGGTGGATGGATCTATGTGAGTTCAAGACCAGCCTGGTCTACAAAGTGAGTTCCACAACAGCCAGGATTGTTACACAGAGAAACCCTGTCTCCAAAAACCAACTCTACTCAACCCAAAACCAACTAAAACAAAACAAAAAACCCCAAACAAACAAAAAAAACCAAGGATGGGAATGTAGCTCAGTGGCAGCGTTATCTACCATGCACAAGGCCCTGGGTTCAAACCCAGCACACATTAATAAACCGTACCGGGGAAAAAAACAAACAAACAAAACAACAAACCACCTCTTTTTAACCCCATCACTTGGGAGGCAGAGGTAGTAAGATGTGAGAGTTTAAAGCAAGCCTGTTGTACAGAGTGAATTCCAGGATATCAAGGAACAAAGGCAAAACATTCATACATTAAAAAATGGATAAACTCAAAAAGGAAAAGCAAGGCTTAGTATGCCTACTAATAACTAAGAATTACTCTATGCTGTAAGAAGCAAACTTGACACTTACCCGGAGGAGGGTTTAAGTAAACACCATTACATGTAAGTAGTTTTTTCATAAACTGAAAGTATTCCAAACTGTACTGCATTCGGTTGTGCATGAACTGTACATTCTGCTTCCGCACACTTCTCTCAATGGCCGACGGCATAACAATCTGATGAGGCCTTGTGGTGATGGCAATCTCTGATATGTATCTCATCAATTCATCATCGTGATTTATTGTGTCCATTCGCTCATAGAAAAGTATGTAAGCATTCCACCACCTTTTCTGGCGCCGGTATGACATGCGCTTCATCATGTGATCAAATACTTCTCCCATGTACTCGCCACCAAAACACTGGTTCTTCATTTCTTCATCGTCGTCCATTTTGCACTCTGTTACATCTCCATCGTCAAATTTATACCAGCGATTCTTTTCACCATCTCCTCCATTCCTCTGAATGATGTAAGAATAGTAATGTCCCCCACTTGCTTGGCCACTGTGCACAAGCACACCCACAAGTCTGTATTTTGTGCTTCCTGCTTTCTCTTCAGACTGCTCATTCTGTTGTATCAGTTGACTTTCTGGGTTTACGTTATCCCCCTCCAGCTTAGCAACACCTGCAACGGTGTAAGGTTCCATGTCTAACTCTCGAGGAAATTCAAAGTAATCATTGAACTTGATTGCACATTCTCTTTCCCAGTCATAATCGAATCGTTTTAGTTGGATAGCAAGAACAGGAGGTAATTTTTTAATGAGCAAACGCTTTACGGTATCAACCTAAAATCAGAGAAAATTAATAGATACAATCCACTATAAAAGCAAACCAAAATCTAAGCAACCACCGCCACCACTCTCAAATAAGAAAGTGAACCTAGGGTGTCACACATACTAAGCAAGCATTCATCCTTTAGCTAACCCTCCAATTCTTTTTTACCCAAGCTCATTTTGAACTTGCTTTGTATCCCAGACAGGTCTTAATGTGTCTCTTGCTTTAGCAGCCTAAGTTGGTTAAGGTCATAGGATTGTGCCATCAAGACCAAACCAAGCAAACTTTTTTCTCTTGGATTTTTTTTGGATAGGGCCTCATACTAAGTTCCTGTAGATAAGATCTAATTAGGTAGCAAAAAAACAAATTTTATTCTATTTCTAAAAATTAATAGTTTTCAGCAACAATCCTGGACATAAGAGGAAAAATGGTTTCCTCCATCAGCTCTGCATTTGTTTCCTGAAAGAGACAAATCTGTGTTAACTCACATAACCAAGGTGATATTTTTTGAACATACCAACCACAGAAAAAGATATTAAGCTATTGCAATTTTACACTTCCTAGCCTTTTCTGGCACTACTTTTTAACTTCTTTCCTGACACACACACACACACACAGCTTTTTTATTATCACAACAAAGGAAGATAGAAAAAAAAGTGTGAACTTCAAGATCCATGTCCAAACTCCATGTCTTTTTTCTTTTTATAAGCAACCTAGCAAATATAATTTGTGCTGTCCATATTCTTCTGGGTGTAAGGCCATTCACTGGACTGTAGTGCACTTACCAGGACTTAAAACTGTCCTCACCAGGAGCTATCTATCAACTATCCATAGCTCCTCAGTTAGAAGTATCAAAGTTATCTTAACAGACATTCATACCTTTTTATTGCATTTTTCACAATGATAAGCATTTGCCCCTTCTAATAAATCTCCTTTGACATACTGTTCCAAAGAATCAAGAAGATTTTGATGGTTTCTAATGTCTACATTCAGAGTCGTAAAAGATTCTTCACATTCGTACCTAAAGACATTATTTAAGAAATTGTCAGAAAAGGATGCACTTTTTAGTTCTCAAAATATTTCATTATATATTTAATGAAAACTAAATTTATAATACTTAAGACTATAAAAGTACTAATCCAAGGAATGTTAGCAATACTAATGGCATTTCCTGACTATTTAGATTGTCCTGGTCACTACATTAGTTTGATCATACACTCTGTATGCTAAGTTCTTTGCCTTCAAAACAAAATTGCTGGAGAACTATCACCACCCACACTTGAATGAAATGGGTTCTGAAAGGTTAAGTCAAAAGAACTAGGTGAAATGGAAATTAAAACAGGGTAGCCCGGTGGTAGTGGCGGCGTCTACCTTTAATTCCAGCACTCTGAATTTGAGGACACAGGATATAACAAAAACAAGACTATTTTAGTTAGTTAAGCATTATGGATCTTACTTAAAATCTTCTCTTGTAGCCGGGCGTTGGTGGCGCAAGCCTTTAATCCCAGCACTCGGGAGGCAGAGGCAGGTGGATCTCTTGAGTTTGAGGCCAGCCTGGTCTACAAGAGCAAGTTCCAGGACAGCCTCCAAAGCTACATAGGGAAACCCTGTCTCGACCCCCCCCCCAAAAAAAAACTTCTCTTGGAGGCTGGCATGCCTTTAGTCCCAGCACTCGGGAGGCAGCAGAAGGCAGATAGCAAGTTCCAGGACAGCCAAGGCTAGAGAAAATCCCAGTCCTGAAAATCATCATTTTAAGATATTGCAAATCACTATTAACTTGTTTTTTTTAAAGAATTTTTATAAAAAACAAATAAAAAAAAAAAGAATTATTTGCTGGGTGATGGTGGCGCACACCTTTAGTCCCAGAACTCAGGAGGCAGAGGCAGGTGGATCTCTGTCCTGGTCTATAAGAGCTAGTTCCAGGACAGACTCTAAAGCCACCGAGAAACCCTGTCTCGAAAAACAAAAAACAACAAAAACAAAGTATTATTTACAATGCGTGTGTAGTATGCACGTCAGGAAAACTTTGTGAAGTTGGTTCTCTCCTTCTATATTTTGCCAAATTTGAGTCTCCAAATGACTTTACCAGGTGAGCCATCTTGCTGCCCCCAATAAAATTTATGTGTAAGTTTTTAAGTCTGCCTGCCATGTGTTGTGTGCCCAGAGAGACCAGAAAAGGGTGTTGGATCCCCTGGAATTAGAATTATGGTTATGAACTAGGTGATATGGGTCCTGGGAACTAAACTTGGGATCTCTGGAAGAGCAGCAAGAACTTGTTAACTGCTGAGTTATCTCTCCAGCCCCCAGTCTATTATTAAAATTTTTTATGCATATGGGTTATTAAAATTTTTTTATGTGTGTGGGTGTTTTGTCTACATGTATAAATGTGTACATTGTATATGCCTGGAGCCTGAAGAAGCTAGAGGGAGGTGTCAGATCCTCTGTAAATGGAGTTACAGTTTTGTCACCATGTGGGTACTAGGAATTGAACCTGGGTCCTCTGCAAGAATAGTTACTTTTTTAACAATGTGCTGGCTCTCCAGCAACCCAGTTTTAAAATTAGCACACAGAACAACAGGTTAAAACTTCGGTGTGATTTGACAGTCAGAAATACATATTCATCTGTAACATGAATGTTTCTGGTCCAGCTAGGTCCCACCGCCCTTCTCTGCCGCAATTAAACACGAGGATGCTTTATTAGTGTAAAGTTATTATTGGCCTTTTGGCTAAGGTTTCTTTTTGCTAGCTCTGACTTAATTATTAACCCATAATTACTAATACATATTTTTATAAGGTCTAATCTTACTAAGAATGCCAGACTTGCATCCTTTCCTCCCGGGATCACATGGTGACCCTTTACTACATTTCCCAGAATCTTCCTCGACTCCTATTCCCACCTACTTTGCTTCCCTAATGGCCAATAGTGTTTTATTCATCAACCAATAAGACAAACTTATACACAAAAGGATTTCCCCATCATTCATCATTTCATATAGTGTATAAACTATTAGTTTTTTAAAGTTTTATTTACTTACTAAGAGTACTATAAATTTGCACCCTATGCATGCCTACTGCCTGAGGAGTAGGGCATCACAGCCTTCATAGATGGTTGTTATCCACTATGTAGGTGTGCTCTGAACTGAAACCAGTCTTCTACAAGAGCAGCTAGTGTTTTTAATCCACAAGCCACTTCTCAAAGCCCATTTAGCATCTTAAACTTTTACATATAATCCTCCTGGTCTTGGCCTCCCAAGCACTGGATTAACTAAAGGCAAGAGCTACTACAGCCAGCTCTTAATTCCCCTTTAAAGTTAAAAACCAGAGCAATGAAAAAAAAACCCATGTAATTTTCCACACAACTTTTATAATATTTTATATGTACACATACCATAAGAATGGTAATAGGTATGTATAAAAATGTTAATAGGGAGAACTATTTTGTTGTTTTGAAAAGAAAATAACACCTCTAGCACAGTCATCTTCTAAACTCAGTATATTTGTATTATTAAATAAAATTCTAAGATAAAAGGCACACTTCTAGTCATATGCAAATTGTCAGCTTAGTTCCTTAGGAATATATGAAAGAATTAAAAGCATTAAATAGTAAAATATTAAGCATGAGACAAAAACACAAGAAAAGGAATGAAGTTACTTAACAAAACCAAAAAACTACCCCACAGTACTCAGATATTCATAGTACTTATTCAGTTATAGGAGTTTAATAGTGGAATATTTTATTTTCATATTAGCACTAGTAAGAATTTTATTCTTTTTAGCATTTACCAGTATTATGTGTTAGCGCTTACCTATGTGGGCAGCCCTGGCAAATCTTCTGATCAGCAAAGGAACCTCCCAAGACTTTACTTAGCATAGCTGGATGCCCTAAGGCTTTTAGAGCTTCATCCAAACTATCCACCAGTGAATTAAAGAACTCTAAAGCATCATGTTGTTCACGAAGATTAACAGGCTCACCCCAAAGCCTGCAAAGTGAATGGAATATAACATACAACATCTGACGTTCACACAATACAAACATTTTATTTTCTAAGGTTGCTGGTAAGGCAATTATAATGAAAGCATATTGAAACATGAGGAAGAAGGAAACACCACAAAAGTCCAGCACTTAATGGTAAAAGTGGTCCTCCAGTGCCAACTGGCATGGTTGATAGACATCATGGCTTTAATAAGGGCAGTTGTTTCAGATAATGTGACTTACACATGCATTTTGAACCCAGCTACAGATGTTATTCAAATGAGGTGGTAGATCTAACAGGAATTTTTCACTAAGCATTTTGCTAAATTTTGGATTACGCACAAAAAGAATTGTGTCAACCTTCATTAAACTGATTTTTTCAAGTTATATAAAAAAAAGGTTTTATTAGTTCTACAGTTAAATCTCTTTTGAATGATCTGAGGACTTAAGTTACACAAACTAATCCTGAAAACCAACTATCACTTATATATATATGTATGTATGTATATATATATATGTATATATTCTAGAATGAGAACTGTCTTGCTTAAGCCCAGGCCGTGATAGAATTTATCAGATACCTGACATTGTATTCATAGAGTAATACACACAGAATACAAGAATATTATTTCCAAGCAAGAGAGATGACAAGTGTACTTCATATATACCAGAGCACTGTTTGATAAATATTTCTTGTATGTGGCAAATAGTATCATACTTTAGACAAAAGGCACTACACATGGCAACTTTAAAATCAGATCTGTCATTTGCTAAAATTAAACTGTTACATTATTTGAAACAACACTAATCTATCTTATTTACTTTCCACACTTCCAAATATGTTATGTCCATTAACAGATATTTGTTAAGATACCAAGGTACCAGTTATTATCACGAGTAATTAAATGAACAAATGTTCATATACGTGTAATGAGAAACCTAGAACATCATTAACATAGTCTTTTATTCTCCTTCAAGTTTAATCTGATCTAATCAGAAGGAAACAATCACTAGTATAAAGAGTAGAAAACAGCAAAGGCACAAGGGGGAAAATACCCAGCATTGTGGCACACACTTATAATCTCAGTATTCAGTGGCCAAGGCAAGAGAGTATGGATTTCTAGGCCAGGCTGGGCTATACATCAGTCTTAAATGAGAACAAAAATCAAAACACCAAAATGAAAGTCATAAAACAAGAGAAGGAAAATCAACTAACAAATTTCAGCATAAAAGGTGAGGAAGTGGGTAATTCTTAGAACAACAGGAACAGAAATTTTGGATTTATAAAAGCCTTATAGAGGCAGATGAATAAAGCAGACGAAAAACAGAATGAATAGCCTGGTAGATTGGTGTTATATATAAACTCTCAGAACTGACTGAGTAGGGGCTTAATTTGGGAAATGTTGGAAACTTTAATTGTTATTGTAATTGTTATTGCTGAGTGTGTCAAAAAAATAAAGGATTCCTTATTGGGAAGGAAAAAAAATATGAGGGGAACCACACTGTCAAAAGTAAGGTAGAATAGGCAACCTTCTAGTCCCTTCTGTCAGCTGCCTGGAGGTCCCTTGGAGGAGCTGTACTTTCCATTGCTGGGGATGGAAAGAAGTAGAAAGGAATATTATTTAAGATTGTTTGAGCTGGGCAGTGGTGGCACATGCTTTTAATCCCAGCACTCGGGAGGCAGAGGCAGGTGAAGAAACTATCTCGAAAAACCATAAAAAAAAATTGTCTGAGTTGACTACTGGTCAAGATGAGTGGTAAGTATATATGAGTCCCCATGATTCTACTGCCTATGCATTAGACATTTTCACAATCAAGTTTTATGTCTTAAGAGAGTAGTGGTTTGGATGAGAATGCCCCTTATATATTTGTATGCTTAGCTCCCAGTTGATAAACCATTTGGAAGAATTATGACAGCAGTTCTCACAGTGTGGATTGTGACTCCCCACAGGGGTCATATATCAGACAATTACATTACAACACACAACATTTTTTGTTTGTTTTTGTTTTTCGAGACAGGGTTTCTCTGTGGCTTTGGAAGCCGTCCTAGAACTAGCTCTTGTAGACCAGGCTGGCCTCTGTCTCCCAAGTGCTGGGATTAAAGGCGTGCACCACCACTGCCCGGCAACATACAACATTAACAGTAGCAAAATTACAGTTCCAAAGTAGCAACAGAATAATTTTATAGCTGGAGGTCACCAGAACATGAACTGTATTAAAGGCCCAAATCATTATGAAGGTTGAGAATCACTGGGTTAGGAGATGTGCCCTTGAAGGAGAAGTATCACTGGGGGTGGGCTTTGAGGTTACAAAAATCCAATCCAGGGAAAATGTGTCTGTCACTCTCTCTCTACCTGCTGCCTGTAGATGAGGATATAAAGCTCATAGCTACTACTTCAACACCAAGTTTATCTGCTCCCCACCATAAGGGACTGACCCTTTGAAACTGTAAGTCCAATTAAATGCTTTCTTTTATAAGAGTTGCCTTGGTCATGGAATCTCCTCACAGCAATAGAATAGTAGTAATTAAGACATCAAAAAAGGAAGAGACTAACGAAAGAATGTTGTCCCTATATGAATTAAAATATCACATACTATCCCATAAATCTATTTTTAATATGTCAAATATTAGCAGACCAACTATCCATCCCTCATTGTAACAGTCACGGAGGAAAACTATGGACTCTTATCGGCAAAACAAAGAAGAAAATCTAAGGGTAGTTGGAGTATTAACTATTGTTTAAAATCTGAACATAAAGGTATCAGAAGATATGTATTTTAGGAATATGAGCTATTCATCAAGTTTTAAGATATGTTTTATTACTATCCACCCATAGTTTACCTGAACTGTTTCCAAAATCCTCTGGGCACATAGTACTGTAGTCGAGAAGCAGCTAAATGCCCAAAGATAACCTGAAGGTGTCTTAGAACACCAATATTGTACTCTTTTCTATCTTCTGTTTTACTCAGGGCTGGTTTATCTTCAAACTGTTGAGGATATCCAAACACATCATCCCTGGGATCAACATTGCTCTAGAAACCAAAAACGTCACATTAATGATCTAATCAGAAGTGTAGTAAAACATGTTGACATAAATTCCAGTTAGTAAACATACACTTTTGTTTCCAAAAGCACTTAATTTTCAAAAGGTATACATTTAATTTATACTATTAGGCTTATTCCTGCCATTTCATTTCAAATTGAGTGAGGCATTAGTTGAAAAAAAAGAAGTCTTTCTTAATATTACATAGAAAAAAACCTAAACCAAAACCAACCGCTCAATCTGCACCGAAGTCCTAAAAGTTAGAGCTAAAATTCTTGAAAGAAAAGTCTTCAAGACTTTGTAGTTGATAATGATTTCTTACTATGACAACAAAGGTACAAGCAACATATGAAAATTGACAAGGTGAATATCAGGAAAATGAAGTATTTTGAGTAAATACACTGCCAAGAGAGTAAAAGGGCAACTAATTTAGTGTGGGAGGAAAATGGAAAATCACTTATCTGATGAAGAAGTAGAATCCAGAATATATAGAGGACTCCTTAAACTCACAATTCAAATTTTAAAATGCAAAAAGTTGGCAAGTCATTAATCCCAGCACTTAGGAGGCAGAAGTAGGCAGACTTAGGAGGCAGAAGAAGGCAGACTTCTTTGAGTATAAGGCCAATCTGATCTACACAGTAAGTAGTAGGCCAGGCAGGACTATATATAATGAGATCCTGCTTAAATTAAAAAGCAGAAAGATTTAAGGGGTTTTTCTCCAAAGATGTTCTACCTTAAACTAGAACACCATTATGCTAAGAACTAAAAGCAGGGTCTAAGTGATTTCTGTGAATCCATTCATGTTCATAGCAGCAGTAGCAAAAATGAGGAAGCAATCTAAGTGTCTGTGACAGATGAAAAGATAAAAGATGCTACATACAGCCAGTGAAATATTATCAAGCTGGCAGGAGGAAGCTCACAAGTTCTGGGTCTGTCTGCAGTACTCTCAAAAACAAAACAAAACAAAAACAAAAACAAAAAAACCCACACAAACCTCATCAGCCACAGAAGGGCAAATATTGTATGATTCCACTTATATGCACAATAATAAGTGCACTTATACTATTTAACTGTGCAATGAAACATAGTTAAGATCAGGTGTGTTTTAAAACCTTGGAAAATAGAGTTGAGCACTGCACAGCATATGCATGAAGTCCCAGCTACTTGGGTAGATCACTTGAGCCCAATCCAGGAATAATAATGGGCAATCTGGGCAACATAGCCAGATGCTAAAGTTAAATAAAACCAAACAAACAGTGGTAGAAGATATAATATGAAAATTAGCAATGTTCAAAATCACAAGAGCTACAGAGAAAAATTTATAGTTTAGTGGATATCTTGTGTTTGACCTATGATATAGGAATACACAATACATAGGTCCTAACCAGATTTGAATGTAAACATCCCCTACAAAGCTTTGGTAAAATGTAAAAATTCCCAGTCCTCACCCCTGGATCATTTAGGTCCAGTAGGTCTGGGGAAGAATTGTTTTAGAAGCTCCAGAAGTGGTAAACTGCTTCTTCAGAACAAATCCAATTATGGTTAGTGAAGGGAAGCAAGGAAAAAATATCTGAAAATATTTACAATGAGAATACTATACTTGGGCTTCTCACTTCAGTTCCTACTAACACTACAAACAGGGATAGATATCTGCTTTGGCTACTTTACAGGCAGCTCAAACTTTGTCACAACATCATGTAAAGAGTTTTTGAAATATAGAAGAATTTTATTTTTAAGTAGGTAGAAGTATGACTGGGGCGAGTGTGTGACATAAAAGCATAACCAAAGCAAGCAAGCACAGATAAAAAGTATTAAAACATAGCCTAGTGTGGTGGTACACACTACAATCTGCATCTGCAAAACTGAACCTGGAGACCCTTCAGAGGTTAGCAAACAGTATTAACAGGAGTATCTCAAAAAATCACAGAAACAAAAATGGGACAAAATAAAAGTGAATACAATTTAAGTTGTGTGGCCCAAGACAATTCTTTGTCCAATGTGGCTGAGAAAATCATTTGGCCATTGTTGATTTAAACTAGTCAAGGTTCAACTTCTATCAACACTAAATAAAAAAGTGAGTACTTTTTATATTGGAGACAAACTCCATTAAGAAGTAGTCCAAGTGGGAGAGACCATGATAATTTTCCAACATAGTTTTTTAATAGGAAGGAAAATACAACACAATTAGCTCTTCACAGCCACTATGGCATGGCATCTGTGGATTCATGAAAATAAATATTGGAAGAAAGAAAATTTAATTCTGCACCAAACATGTACAGACTTTTAGAAATTATTACTTTCTATGTAATACAACAACTATATAGCATTGACACTGTATAAAAAGCATTACATATAATCTACAAATGACCTAAAACATATCACCTTCCTCAGCAGCCATTATGAGAATGGTAGGTGTTATCAGAATTTCGAAAACAAAAAACACAATAGAAGTAAAATTTACCTCATTATCCTGCTTCTCATCCCCAGACATATCATCATCTACATCACTACCTGTGCCTTCAATTGCAAGAATACCATTCCTAATGGAGGGAATCATATAGAGCTGCTGAATCACAGAATTCATGTAACAAGTAGCACCGGCATTTTTCAGCCCTACAAATCCTTTCGGTGGGCGCGGTCCAACAGGTGGCAGGTATTCCCACTCAGTAAGTGCTTCACAAGCTGAAAAATAGTCATATAGCATGAACATAAACCATTTTGTCCTTTTCAAGATCTGCTAAGCTGAAAACAGTAACCTGAGCAGCCACTGGGGAGGAAGGGCCTTAACTTGGCATTTCTCCACTAATAAATGCATTTGAGACACAGTGACATGGATCACTGCATGCTCCTCATCTGCCAATCTAAAATCCTATTTGTTTTTGAGACAGGGTCTCATGTAGCCAGACTGGCCTGAACTATCAATGTAACTGAGGATATTTTGAATTTAAGATTCTCCTGCTTTTCCCACCAACCCAAAGTGATGGGATTATAAGTATGCACCACCATGCCCACTTTATGTAGTACCGGGGAAATCAAAGCTACTGCTTTCTACCAACTGAGCCACCTCTGACTCCAACAAACTCCATTATTTTTAATGTGGTGCTGCTTCCATGGCAGTCTCTAATATATTTACATAAGATAGTATACAACCATCCTTTCCTTGTTAAGCTTGGTTTTAATCTGTACCATTTAGTCATGATTACTTTTTGAAAAATATTTTTATTAATGTGTATGTTTGTGTGTGTGTATGTGTGTGTACATAAGCCAGAGGTATGTGTAAAACCCTTGGAGTTGGAGTTACAGGTATTTGTGAGCCACCTAATTTAATGTGAACTCTGGGAACCAACTTAAGGACCTTTCCATAACACCAAGCATTCCCTATCCACTGAGCCTTCTTTCCACCCCATTATTAACTTTTAGTTTATACATAATACATGGTAGTTTGCTCAGCTTTAACAAAATTTATTCATTCATGTTTGTGTTTCAATAATCTCTAAAAGTCAGGGTTAAGTCCTAGTCCCAATACTTGCAAATATAGTTAAAACTAGCTCTCCTTATATCCTCACAGTGCTATTTTGAGGAGCAAACCAGATGGTGGATGTAAAATGTTGTGATATTGGTAGATTTACTTACTTACTAAACATTTTCATATTTTTATACTTAGTATCATGCTGGAAACAATATAAACATCATTTTCTAGGGGGGACAGTAAAATGACAATATGCTGAAGTGAAAGGAGCACAGCCAATAAGTGAATAGATAAAACATGTTATGTGTTGGACAAGGAATAATGACACCTATATTAAGTGGGAAGAATAAATATCAAGGGGCTGGAGACATGGCTCAGCAGTTAAGTGCACTGGCTGCTCTTTCAGAGGACCCAAACATACAAAGATATAAATGATAATGATTATGGCTATCAAAAATGCAAGGGGAACACATGGGCAGAAACATACTTTTTCAGAGTATATTCTCTTTAGTACTCATTTGCTTTTTATTTTTAAGAGACAGAGCCTTGATAATGCAGTCCTGGGTGTTTTGGATTTGCTATGCAGATCAGTATGGTCCTTTTGAATGACATGGACCTCATAGTTTGAGCATTTGAACTTTGTCCCCAGTTTGTGGCACTATTTGGGTTAAGGTGTGGCATTATTAGAGGACTATGTTGGGACAGGCTCTGAGGTTTCAAAAGTTATGTACAATTCCCAGTTCATTCTGCTTTCAGGTCTTGGATGTGAGCTCTTCTACTGTTCCTGCCAGCTGCCATGCTTTCTTGCTGGGATCGTGACAGACGTTTATCTCTCTGAAAATGTTAGCTCAAATAAATCCTTCCTTGTTCACTGTGTTTTATCACAGTAATAGAAAAGTAACTACTATGAGCTGGAGAGATGGCTCAGTGGTTAAGAGCACTGGCTGCTCTTCCAAAGGTCCTGAGTTCAATTCCCAGCAACTATATGGTGGCTCACAACCATCTGTAATGAGATCTGGTGCTCTCTTCTGTAGTGATACATTATGATTTAGTAAAGCTTGAAGATTCAGAAAGCAAAGAAGCTATAGATGCTGGGCACACACCTTTAATCCTAATACTCAGAATTAAGAGGTAGATGGGTTTCTGTGAGTTCAAAGTCACCAAGATCTACACAAGAGTGTATTAGTCTAAAAGAGAATTATTATAACTCACACCTTTAATACCAGCATTAAGGAAGTATCTAAGCCAGAAGCAAGGTCTCAGTAGAGGCATTTCAGGAGAGGTTATATAGTCTGAGGCTTGGCGAGAACAGGATCAGCCCATTAAATCTGAGGAAGAGGTAAGAAGCTAGTGGCCAGCTACTTTGCTTCTCTGATATTAGCTTGAACCTGAATATGAGTCTCTGGGTATTTTATTAGTTTGTGTTATATATTGGCACCCAACTTTGGGCCCGAACTCATGACCCTGACACTAAGAGTCTCATGCACTACTGACTAGTTTTTATTCTCGTTATACTCTTCTGGCTTGCAGGAATACATGCAGGCAGAAAACTATATGTAATATAAATAAATCTTTAAAAAGAAAAGTAACTAATACAAACAGGTTGGCTTCAAACTCACAGCAACCCTTCTAGAAACTGGGATTACAGCTGTGTATTGCTATACCCAATTTGTACTTAAATTTAACATGCAAATGTATTACTGAAGAGGAAAACGCCTCTTCATTAGGCTAAAAAAACTTAACTTCATTATATTTAAATTTGCTATAACAGCTAAGTCTCATTTTAAAGTCTGTATAACAGTCAAATTTATATTCTAAAACAATATAGTAAAATCATTTTATAAACTTTTCAAAGTTTATATAGAGCTGAAGATCTTAAATATGTGTATATTTGTGTGAAGGAACATGCTTTTAACCCTAGCATGTAGGAGGCAGAAGCAGGCAGATCTCTTATGTGTTTGCAGCCAACCAGGGCTACATAGTGAGGGCCTACCTTTAAAAAAAACATAAATTTTGATGGGTGTGGTGGTGCACACCTTTTATTCCAGTACTCAGGAGGCAGAGGCAGGTGAATCTCTATGAATTCAAGGCTAGTCTGGTCTACAAAGCAAGTTCCAGGACAGACAAGGCTACAAAGAGAAACCCTGTCTCGAAAAACAAAAGAACAAAAACCAAAACCCGTGAAGTCACTTTTCTATGAGGGCCTGAAAGGTTTTCTGAGTCATGAGATTTAGGTTCTGGGTGCATTTACTGTGGCTACTTGACTACAATGGAGAAGGTTATATTTCAGATTTGAAAGATGACATTTAACAAATACTTGTACTTGTACCACCACTTATGCTACTGTATCTAACTGCTAAAAAAATCTCAAGACTAGTTACTAACAAAAATGAGATTTGAGGATGTTTATAAAAAGAGAGCAAACAGAATTTAAAACAGAATCATCACAAGCTTATGTCTTAAAGTACTTACTAGTTATTGCTGTACCAATGTAATACATTTCAGTCAAAGAATCTACTATCTGTTTGAGGTTCCTCACACAGCCAACAGCTAATGCTACAAGTAACTCAAAACCAGCATTTATTGTAGCTGGTGAACCACAAACAGGAATAGCCTGTTCAGCTGGGAGCTCTCCATTTCTCATATACTGCAGGTAAACATTGGATGCAGGAAAGATGAAATCATCGATTAATTCCTAAACAATTGAGAAAAAGGATACATATTAGCAGTGACATATTCTGCAAAGGGGAAAATTATTATTTGCTTTTTTCAAGACAGGGTTTCTCTGTGTAGCCCTGGCTATACTGGAATTCACTCTGTAGACCAGGCTGGCTTCAAATTCAGAGCTCTGTCTGCCTGTGCCTCCCAAATGCTGGGATTAAACTCATGCACCACCACTGACTAGTCAAAGTTTATCTTTTAAGAAAGTAATTGATTACTTCAGACTTCCTTACACCACAGAAAACTTATAGTGGGGTTTCTAGTAAAAATAGCCCACTTTTAAAAACTATTTACTTACATATCACATTTTTTCTTATTTATTTTTAGATATTAAGACAGAACTGATTGCTATAGTACCTAACAATTTGTATTTTACACTTACTCAGAATCTATGTAGCACTGGTTGAACTTGAACTCAGAGATCCTAGTGCCTGGTTCTATTTTACATTTATTTTAATTTGCTCTTAATCGCTGAGCCATCTTTCCAGTCCCAAAAGGTAGGTTTTATAAAAGGTCACGCTAACACACCAAAGACTTAATACTATCAATCATTCAATGACAACACTTATAAGGATAGGATATGTACTTTAAAATAGAGAACACAGAACTTACTTTAATGAGATTAGCACCTCCCTTTTCACAACCAATATGAAACTTTTTCTCAGGAGTCTGAAAAGCCAGTAGCTCTTTTGTAACTCCAAGGTGTCCTTCCAAGATTGTCTCTTCAATACCCGTTTCACCTGTTCTTTTAACATCATCCTGCCAAAGGAAAAAGAATTAAATGACTAACTTATGAAATGGAGGAATCTAGACAATAAAGCAAGAAGAATCTGAGATCATTTTTATCTTGAAAATTTTTTACGGATTTATAGAAGAAATGCTAATTCAAAGGCTAAAATTTGTTGCAGTTTGGGTGTGAAATGTCCCCCATAGGATTCTAAATTTGAACACTTGGTCCTCAGCTGGTAGTGCTGTTTGGGACACCTGAGAAACCTTCAGGATGTGAAATCCTACTGGAAGAAATATATTACTAGAAGGGTTTGTTGGCTTTGAGTTTTGGCCTCTTTCTGGTTCTTCAGTTTCATTAATTTGTCAGCGGCTTTAGCTGCCGTATCTTTCCTGATGTGAAAGACTCTTAAACTCCTCCCTTCCCTTGTTGGGATATCATATTATAATAACAGAAAAGTATTGATCTCCTGAGAAATAAATCTTTACACAAATCTTAAAAGACTTATGATCAAGATAGCTTATCTGACTACTGGGGGGGGGGCGCACAACATACCAGCATTTTCTTTTTCATCTTATTTCTGTTGTTTGAAACAGAGTTTCTCTATGTATTCTCTGGACCCTGTCTTGGAAATTGCTCTGTAGACAAGGCTAGCCTCGAACTCACAGAGATCTGCCTGCCTCTGCCTCTACCTGGAATTAAAGGCGTGTGCCACCAAGTCCCAGCTGTATTCTAAATCTCAAGTTCACACTTTCTGCTAGTAATAAATTCATTCTGCAAAGTACAACCAAACAATACAATGTATGTTCTTTGGTTCCCTTTAAGTTTGGAGTTTATTCACTTCACCAAAATGTTCTAAACTATGAACCATTTATTAATGAAGCATTATTTAACAATGATATAAACATAGTATTAACCGTGACTTACCCTAATTCTTTTAAGCCAATCAATTTCATTATTGAGAAGAACTTCAGCATTGGGTACATTAATGTTACTGTTGTAAGCATAATTAAGAAGGTGCCTTAAAAGAGTAAAGTAGTCGCCTGAATGTTTAGCCCTCTCTCTGGCTGTGCTCTGAAAAATGATAAAATACAGTATGATGAATCAATATGTACATGTTTGGATTTTTTTTCAAAAACTGAGTTAACTTATATTTTACCGATTAAGCATAATTACCCTAATTGATACAAGTTAAATTCATAAATTTCTGAATATCCTTATTGATGGAATTAGTTACACTGCTAAACACATTTTTAAATGCCTTACCCCCAAAACAGTAAAGAGCAAAGTAATGAAGAAAAGTAGAGGTCTGTGTCCCATGCAACATCTGGTGCACATTAAGAAGAATTGCTCCTGTGCTACTTGACGAACAGTTCTGAAATGGAAATTGAAGTTAAATTAAGAACATAAAGTAACATCTATTTAAGCAGTCATAAAAAATAAGTAAATGAGTTTACCACTGCATGTCAAAGGTTAAGGCCAAACAATGTTATTAAAGAGTTGGAGGGATGCCTTCTAACCTTTCTCTAAAACATCTACCACCCACCCCCCTTTACAAAGAATTTTTGTCTAATTGCATTTTAGAAGTCAGTGGGAATTATGTTACCACAGAAAGGATAATGTTGCAGGTAGTATTGTAGTACTGATACCAAGAGCATGGCCTACATATGAGCAACATCAGTAACACCTGGAAACTTGTTAAAATGTCAATTTCTGATGAGAAATAGTAGTAGGCCTGGCCAAGAATGTGCTAAGAAATCTTTCAGGTGATTTTGTTATTCTCTAAGGACAAAGAATCACTATATTTATACAGTTTGTCCTTCAAGGCAACTAAAGACATTATAGGAATTTTATTTAACCATTATGGCTCAATCTGTCACCAAGGTTTACATACTACATAAACTTCACTATAATAAATGTTTCTAGGTCACAGAGACATCTCTGAACCTCAATGAGTTTTGAGACAGAGTATGTGTCCAATAACCAGTTACAGCTAGGTAGTGGTGCACAAGTCTTTAATCCCAGCACTTGGGAGGCACAGGCAGGCGGATCTATGTGAGGCCAGCCTGGTCTACAGAGCTAGTTCCAGGACAGCCAAGGCTACACAGGAAAACTCTGTCTTGAAAAGCCAAAAGACAAAAAAACCAGTCACAATTAAATCAATCACAACCAAACTTTCAGACTGGGGCCTAAATTTAAGATGTTTGAATTAGGGAATGCTCAAATAGCAAAGTCTAGGGAAAGTCTCAAAAACTTCAAAATGTGAAATGATCCCCTACAGTGAAATGTATTAGGTACCTAAGGGAAATTTACCCTATAAAGAGTGGGAAAATTAGATGACTTATAAATGAATGAATGAATGAATGAATAAATAAGCAAGTTGAACATCTGTATTTCACAAGTATTCTTAATCTTGGTGCAAATAAGTTAAGAAAAATAATGAGATGAAGTGCTTCCTAAAGTACTTTGCCCCATTATCTCTAAGTTTCAGAGAGGGGTTAAATGGGGGCCATGGATACAGCTCAGTGGTAGACAATGTTTCCCTATCACCCCCAAAACTCTGGGTTTCAATCATAGAACCACAGAAACCCAGCTACCCACCTATACACAAATGAAAGTGAGAGGGGCAAAATATTTTTAACTAATAACAGTGGGAACGCTTTATCAAGAGAAAAGCAGGAAACCTATTACACTAAATTCATTTTAGCCTAAACATAGCAATTTGCTAATTGAAGGATTTTGGAAAGAAAATCAAGGGTGCAAAAATCTGCTACCTCCAGGTTTGACCTCCTTGAAAGTACTGACTTATCATCTTTCCTCACTTCACTACCAGCACCCAAATACATTATAAATGGAACTAGAATGAATCATCCTACTCTCCTTTCAATGCACAGAGTGGTTCAACTATGGTAAACTTTTCTCAAAGAGACAGCAAGTTTTCCCTGTTCTGTATCTGTCTGGATCCCATGAAAGAGTTTCTTTTTTAAGAGAGTGTCTCCGTATAGTCCTGAAACTTACTCTGTAAATAAGGCTGGCCTCAAACTTATAGAGAACTGCTTGCCTCTTTCTTAGTACTGATTAAAGGCATGCACCACCACTGCCAGGCTGAAAAAGTTTCTTAATTGGCCAGACTAGCTGTGTTGAAGGAAATTACTCAAGGTTCATTTCAGATCAGTACATTCTCCCTTGATACTCAACTATATTATTGTGTATTGAGTAGGTAAGTTGAATGTGACCCATTAACATATAACAGACACCAATTAGTTTTTTTGAGACATGGCCTCACTATGTAGGCCTGGTTGTCCTGGAACTTGATATATATATAGAGCAACTCACAAAGGTATCCATGCCTCTGCCACCAGAGTGCTGGGATTAAAGATGTGTGCCACCATTTGTGGCCTAATTAGTTTTTATAATTACCTTACATATGAAGATCAGGCTAAGACTGATATAAATTGATGGAAACCAATTTGAATGCTTTAAAGTTGAAATGACTTGTATAAAAAGCAACTTGAAACATTACTGATACTGATTAAATGCTCTTGAGATGAAAGAAAAAAACCCGAAGGATTTATTAGAAGTGATTGATCTTTATTCTAGTATAAAATGTGTTAAGTCCCTCTTTTAAATTTCACATTAACAGTTGGCACCTAGGAATACAAGACACAGCATCAATAGCCTATCTAATTTGCATACTAAAACTAAACAAACTTCGCTTAGGCCAAACATTGTTAAATGAAAATTTCTTTAACATTAATATACTTTGGAGAGTTATTTGGTTTCTGTGATACCTTGTGCTAACACAAATTTGACTCTACTTACAAAAATAGAATAAAAGCTTAAAATTAAAAAGAAACTTACTTGCTGTGACAGTGCAATAGTAAGTCAATAATGAATGTCTGCCAAGCCTTTTCTTTACTTAGTGCATCTAAGGCTGTTGGAATCAAGGCAAAACACAATGTCATCACTTCCAATGCTTCACAGCAAACCTGTTCATCTTCCAGGTCGGGCTCATTGCCTGCATTGGTCTGTAAAATTATAATTGAGAACAAATCATTTAAAGGATTTTTTTTTTTTTGGTTTTTCGAGACAGGGTTTCTCTGTGGCTTTGGAGGCTGTCCTGGAACTTGCTTGGTAGTCCAGGCTGGTCTCGAACTCACAGAGATCCGCCTGCCTCTGCCTCCCGAGTGCTGGGATTAAAGGCGTGCGCCATCAACGCCCGGCTTAAAGAATCTTTTAAAGAAAAACAATATGTAACATGAAAGTGTAAAAGGGATCAAAAACAAATTTTGTTTAAAATGTGCAATCTAATTATTTTGTAAATTAATTTAGAAAGTGCTTAAAATTCATCTACTCAGTTAAACTGCATGGCCATTCTCTTTACCCTTAACTCTTGAGGCCTTTGGTAATAGTTTGGAACCAACTATAATGGAAAATGAAGTCTAATAGCAGTATTTTGCTATGACCGGAAAGGCATATAGTGAGTATATCATTAACCACTTTGTAGTAAGAAGCTCCTAGAGAACTTCTGAATTATGTACTTTTGAACCAACAACCAACCATTCCTTCTCCATCAACCACAGTAAGTAGGTATGTCAAAATAGAGCCAATATCTAGTTTTTCTATTGTGCTTCTTTATTTAAAAAAAGAAAAAAAAATCAATTCATTTTCCTAATCTCAACTATGCTATGATTTTATTGAATTGGGCTTTCAATTATTTTGTTGAATGAATACTGAGGACTATATGAACAGATAATATGGGAACACAGAAATAGGACAATGAGCCTTTGATATAAGGGGAAGTTCTACTGAGCTAGGGAGTCCTTACTACTAGAATTTCTCTTAAAAAACCTTTTTCTCCAGTAGTGTGGGCTGGAGCAGTTAAGAGCACTGTTGCTCTTCTAGAGGAATCAGGTTCAATTTACAGCATTTACATGATGGCTTTCAACTGTCAGTAACTCCAATGCCAAGGGATCCAACACCCTCTTCTGATATCTGAGGGGACCAGGCATTCACGGTACACATACATGCATGTAGGCAAAATACTCATACACATAAAAGAGTAAAAAATAAAACTAAAAACAAAAACCCTAAGAATATAGCAGTATCCAAGGGGATAGGTATACATGACAGAACCCTAATTTATATAGGACTTAAAGATAATAGAAAAGGAATGAGAGAAAAAGCAAATTTTTTGAGATACCCTGACTTTAGTGAAAACAGAAAAATCTACCTTTTAAAGCAGCCTCACAGCAGGATTAAATTCTTTATTTTCAAAGTAAATCTTTATTCAACTATAGCTGCAAGTGATTGATTGGATATTTAAAAATGAACATAGTACAAGTATATAAGGAATATATTTCTCTTACAGTTCTTACCTTCTCATAAATTTTTGTGATTTCTTCATTTGGGCTGAATACCAGCTGTAATCCTCCACATCCTGATGTCCAAATTATTTTTTGTATTGCTCTAATTACACAAATATCAGGCATATATCTTGAAGCCTATAAAATAATGTTAAGGCTATTAGTGTTGATAACCATAAAAATTACAACCATTGCACTCCCAGGTGTTTACCATAGGAGAAAACAGCAGTTTTATTCATATCTAAAGGGGGGAGACCCAAGCATATTTTTGATGAATATATAAACAAAGTATGGCATATTCATAGTAAGTAAAAATGTATTGAATGTACACTTTGAAAGAATGCCGTGAAAAATAATGTACTAATAATATTAAGTTAACATTAGGAAGACATTATCTAGAATAAATAAGTAAAATGAGTGAATTTTAAAAAAAGGTGTTTTAGGGTTAGAGAGATGGCTCAGTGGTTAGAAGCACTGGCTGCTTTTCCAGAGCATATAATGTTTAATTCCCAGTATCCAAATGGTAGCTCAGAACCATCTGTACTACTAGTTCTATAGAATCCAAATACCCTCTTTCTTGTCTTCAAGGGCATCAACAAGGCATCCAAGTTGTATACAGGCAAACATTCAGGCAAAACATACATAATAAAATTTAAAAAATTTTGGAGTAATGCTTATGACATGTAAAGCAATATATATGCCATCAAGTGTTACCACTCAAAATTATATACACTATAAAAATATATACAATACATATTTATATCAATGTAATTTTGCATAATAACATATATACATGTATATGCATGCATACATATACACATACACACACAAACACACTATTCTTAACAATACTAACCTCATCAGAAATCTGCTGAGCAAGACGAACAGACACATTTCTAAGCATGCATTCAGACGACGGGTTAGGAATGCTCTGAAGGGCACTTTGTAGCACCACTGCTTGATCATGAGTTACTTGGTTGACCTGAAAACAACCAAACCAACAACAACAAAAAAACATTTTATTTGAGTATTCTGTATATAACTTGACCCAAACATTTGTACTTTACTCATCAACATTCCCTTAAGATGTTTTCTTTCCGCATTCATTCACAAAGCACTCTACCTTGCCACATGACATCCAAGTAGCAGCAATTTCTCTACAATCCCTTATTATAGATTAACCTAATCCATGTCTCTAAAGAACAGATCAAGTCTAATCTCATCTAAAGATGCAGTAAATCAAGACATGATTTTTACAAGTGCACCCTTTGGGCAGACCCTGCTCATAATCTCCAGTTACCAAATTCTACTTTGAAAATGAGAATTAGGACTATAAAAAAAACTAACATACAAAAGGTAGCAGCTTTTTTACTTAATAGTATACTATGATTTTTAATCATGGAGAAACAGATGAAGGAGCTGAGTAAGTCTGTCTTTTTTAAAAATTTATTTATTATGTACACAGTGGTCTGTCTGCATGTGTGCCTTCAGGCCACAAGAGGGCACCAGATCTCATTACAGATGGTTATACAGCCACCATGTTGTTGCTGGGAATTGAATTCAGGACCTCTGGAAGAGCAGAGCAGTCAGTGCTCTTAACTGCTGAGTTATCTCTCCAGCCCTCCAACTTCTTCTTGTGTAAGTGCTTAAAGATATCCCTACATTTTTTAAATGCCACATTATCTACAATTGGCAAATGGTATATTCTCTAAGTATTATAGAAAAGGAAGCATGTTATTGGCTTTTGTGAGTTGTATACTTCATTAAGCAATCACATCATAGATTAAAGCAAGAATCTATTTTCACCCTAATGAGAGACCTCCTTCATTGGGTGAGATACAGGGTCTCAAAATTTTTGGCTTTTCTCCTTCCAAATCCTGGGATTACAGGTAAGAACCCTCACACCCTGCAAGAACCTGTCTTTCCTTTTAACCCATTAAGAATTACTTTGAAATATATAAATATATATATGTGCATGTACATATACATACCTAATTTTAGTCATTTTTATCTTTTTTAAATGTCTTTAAAAAAAGGGTTTACTTATTGCATATACAGCATACTGTCTGCATGTTACACCTGCAGGACAGAAGAGGGCACCAGATCTCATTTGTGGATCGTTGTGACCCATCATGTTATTGCTGGGAATTAAACTCAGGACCTCTATAGGAGCAGCCTTATTGGCTGATCCACCTCTCCTCTTTTTTTTTTTAAATCTTTTATGGATACTATGTAGCCTAGTAAGGCCTTAAATTGGTCATTCTTTTGATTTAGCTTTCTAAATGCTGAGATTACAATCTTCCACCACACCTGGTTGCCTTGTAGAAAATTTTTGACATACGAAAGTGGTCAGATTGATACAATTATTTCCAAGGTCCTCATTATTCTGCTTAAACCAGTGTCAATTACTTAATTACTCCTGTTGGGGATCTCCCCTTTAGCTGCCCTCTCCAGACCCTGCCCAAAGAAAGTCCACTAAGCAGCTGTTAAACCCCCAGAAGGTATTTAAGATCTGGCTCACAGACTTCCCCTCGGACCACCCAGGAATGCTTTGCTCAGATTAAAACCTGGATTTAATAATTCAGCTGGAATGGCTTATTATAACAGCAGAGTTACCCACTATTGGGAGATATCAGCTTATCAACTCCCTCTCACTTTCTAATTCCATTGCTCCTTACTTCTAGGATTACTGTTAGGTAAATCTTGGATATTATAAAACTTTATGTACAGCTGGGTGGTAGTAGCATACACCAGCAGGTAAAATGTCGGTGACTTCAAGGGTAGCCTAGTACTACAGAGCACATTATAGGATAGTCAGGGCCACACAGAGAAGTCATGTCTCAAAAACAAAACAAAACAAAAACAAAAAACCCCACTTCATTTATAAATTACTTTGGAAATGAATAGGTTGCAGAAATAAAAAGGTTTGCCGGGCAGTGGTGGCGCACGCCTTTAATCCCAGCACTCAGGAGGCAGAGCAGAGGCAGGCGGATCTCTGTGAGTTCGAGGTCAGCCTGGTCTACAAGAACTGGTTCTAGGACAGCCTCCAAAAAAAAAAAAAAAAAAAAAGAAATAAAAAGGTTCTTCCTTTAAATAATCACAGTATTATCAAATATAAAAAAACATATAATAATCACCAACATCCCGTTCCTCCCTAATTATAACTTAAGTAATTTCTTTAAAAAAACAAAAAACTCAAGTCTTTTGTAAAGAGAGGATCTCATTTGATAGCCCAGACTGGCCTTGAATATGTAACAATCCTCTTGACTCTACTCCTCAAAGACTTTTGTCTCCTAGCAATAATTTAGTAACTATTATTAAAAATTACACCCTGTTTGACCTATAACTAGGCATGAAGCTCTAACATATCTTGAGAGCTTCACCAAAATGGATCAAAGATGCCATCCAAGCAAAGACAGAATAGAATAACAACGACTTCATAATTGGAGTTTAAGCCAATGAAGGTGCAAAAGAACACTAGTAAAAGGTTAAATCAATTACAACTCAGTGCCACTGGTATCTTCTCTGCTGGGCTTAAGTTAGAAATCCATTCATGTGGCATTTTTTTTATTTGTTTAATGTTTATGGTGAGAGTCAAGCAAAACTCAAAGTAGTCAGAAAGGAACTGAAGCAGCTGCCCTCCAAAATTAGTAGTAGTGAAGCCAGTGAAGAGCTTGTATACCCCCCCCCCCAAAAGACAGGGTTTCCTCTGTACTGTTTGAGTCTGTCCTGGAACTCACTCTGTAGACCAGGCTGGCCTCAAACTCACAGAGAGCCTGCCTCTGCCTCCCTGAGTGCTGGGGTTAAAGCTTGTATACTTTAATACAAATACAGTCTTAAAAGTGAAAATTCCTACTAACAAGATAACCACTGGAAAGAAAATAATGCTGAGTCAATTCAACTTTAGAATCACTGAGAAATTTAACCTTAAAAATTACTATCTACTATTAGAGATTAAAACAAAAACAACAACAACAAAACCAGTCTGTATATTACCGATGTCATGGTATTCACGCCTTCTACACCTGGCTGACAAGCTTCTGCCACAGCCCGAACATGGCCATAGCCAATGGCAGTTAGTAAAAGTTTGGCTATTTTAAGAGCATTGAGGTAGGCACCCCTTCGAGTTTCCATATCTGCATTTGGTAGGAAGTTATTTCTGGTTAGCATACTCAAGACAAGGGGTAGACCACCACTTTTCAAGAAGTGAAACTGAAAATCAGAGGAATCATCAGCCAGAGGTGCACCAGCAGGCATTAACAACGCATAGACTACCTGGAAATAAAAGAGGGAGGGGGAGAAAAGAAGGATTGTATTAAAAGGTATTTAAAACATAACCTCCTTTCAAAGACTGCTAAGACATTCTTGACCATTTCTAAACCATCTAATAATCTTATCCACATTCTTCATAAAACACATCAAAGATCAAATTTAAAGAACAAGAATCAAATTCACAATGGGAAAAAAAAACCAACCTCTGTTAGGTATAGCACTTGTGAGGCAGAAGGACCAAAGAAAAGTGAGTCAAGAGATGGACTAAGGCTGCTTTCTCCAAGTTTGGCATGGTCCAAACAAATAGCTCTTAATTTTTCTATCGTTGTACTATCTGTAAAGGAGAGAGAGAAAGCATAGTCTGAAATAAAACACAATTCACATCTATATCACTTCTAGCATCTTCAAGAGCATGGAACAGCAAACAATTCAGTTGAGCTTCTGTAATAAAGAACAATATTTGACTTGATTTAAAAGCAAACAAATGAGAGACAAACAAAACACCAATCAGGGAGTTTTAATCACTCAAGGGAGCCTCCAGTCAACACACTCTATATTCAGCTGCAGGAGACCATTAAAAAACAAACAAACAAAAAACTTCCAAAGGAAGCATAAATAACAGCAACAGTTCTTACCTCCAAATTTATTGCTTGCCTTATGACATTATATATTACCTAGTTTGTTTCACTGAGTGACATGACTGTACCCAAGAAACAGACTGAAGAAGAAGACGAGGAGGAGGAGGAGGAGCGTGGCACCATGGTACATACCTTTAATCTCAGTACAGAGGCAGGCAGATCTCTGAGTTTGAGGACAGCTAGAGCCACACAGTGATACTGTCTCAAACAAAACAATTAAATAATCAAAAACCTTGAGTGTAGGATGGAAAACAAAAAAGTAGGAGGGAAGAAATGAGCTTAATCTAGCTGATTCTGTAAGTAAACGTCCTTGCCACCAAACTGATGGATAACCTGAGTTCAATTCCTAAAACCCACATGGTGGAAAAGAGGAAACTAATTTGAGGTTATCCTCTGACCTCCACATAAGCATTGTGGTAGCTACACAAAAAATGAATACATAAATGCACAACTGTTTAAAAAAAAAGTTTAAGGTCAAGTGCAGTGGTGCATGCCTTAAGTCCCAATACTTAGGAGGCAGAGGCAGTTCAAGGCTAGCCTAGTCTACACAGCAAGTAAAAGAAAGGCCAGCCAAACATATACATTCACCCGGTCACAAAAAGCTCAAAAAGAAGCAATGAATGCTAAACAAATCATTTAATGCTATTGGCTCATAGTTTATCTATCTGAGGAGTCTGAAGCAGAGGATTGCTTTGTGGCCATTCCAGCTCTTACATGTGTGTGTACCTAAGTAATTTTAGGTCACTGATCACATACAAACTTGTTATTACAAAATATGGACAGAAGAAATTTAATTCACCCATAACCTTGTCATCAATAGATGGCTATGGTCTAGGGTCTTTTACTCATTTTTTAGAAGATGAAATACAATTTTCTTAGAGCTTTAAAATAATAATCTCAGGGATGGCACCCTGTATTACCTCAGTAGTTACCTGGAGGAGGCAAATGAAGAAAAGGGTCAGGCAATTTAAGCTGGCATGGAATCCAGACATGTGGTAAACAAGAAGCCACACGGCAGGAAGGAAGCTTTAGACAAAGATTAAGAAAGCCTAAATGTTAGGGGTAGTATGCTTAGAAAAGAAATAAAGGAAAACTTATGCTTTTCTGAGCAATTCAGAAAAGTGAGCAAGCTCCCAACTATTCCTGTCAGCAGCCTGTAAGCTTCTACCTTAGGTTAATTTCCTCGCAGGCCCCCAAGTCTCTTTAATGAATACCAGGATACAACTAATTATATAATTATAACAATGCATTAAAAAAAGTAAATTGAGCCAAGCATGGTGTTGTTTTTAACCCAAGCACTTAGGAAGCAGAAGCAAGTGGATCTCTGTGAATTATAGGTCATCAAAACCTACATAGTTAAGACCCTGTCTCAAAAAACAGAGAGAGAGAGAGAAGGGGGAACAGAGAGGGAAAGAATATGAAAAGCTTACAATAGACTCTGGCATATTTAAAAATGTTCTTTACATTAAATTCCATGAAGGAGGTAGGTCTCATTCTGCTTGGTAAAGCAATACATACTTTAACCAAATGGTGGTTGTTTCAAATTTAGACACTATAGTTTGATTTTAAAATGTCAATCAATTGTGTGTGTAAGTCTGAGTGCAAATTTTTGGAGTCAGTTTACTTGCTTCCATTTTTATGTGTGTTCTGGGGCTTGTGCATCTTACTGGTTCAAATTTAGGTACTAGATTTTGATTGTACAAGGAGGAAAATCAACCTTTAAGCTTCCTGGTAAGAGCTCAATGTCTCCATCTGGTGGTAGGAAGTTCAAATCACAAGCTCAAGGCTTTACTGTGGGTTTGTTTTTAAATTTTAAATTATGTTGTGAAGGTTGAATCTGCACATATAAAGTAAAAACTGTCATTGACAGGTCAGAACTAAATTGAATTAAGGATTCTAAGAAAGCAAGATGACAAGGTGCTTACTTTAGAACCCTATGTGAAAAAACAAAACCAGCCAAAAATTCACTATATTCTGATCATTTTTCCAATTTCTCCCACATCCCTAACCACCCGTTCTCTCTCTCTAAAAAAAAAAAAACCAAAACAAGAAACCAGTAAAACGTAAGGTGCCAAAACAATCCAAACCAAGGAAAAGCCTACCAAAACACATAAGAGTTAATTTTGTGTTGGCCAACATGGGGCTCGCCATAGTTGATATCAGCAACAATCCAATGAAGAAAAGTGATTTTTCTGAGTTAAACTTTATTTCAGTATAAAAAGGTTTTAATTTTCTTTTTTTTAAAGATTTATTATCAATACAACATCCTGCCTCCATGTATGTCTGCACACCAGAACTCATTACAGATGATTTGTTAGCCACCATGTGAATGTTGGGAATTGAACTCAGGACCTCTGGAAGAGCAGTCAATGTTCTTAACCTCTGAGCCATCTCTCCAGCACCCTTAATTTTCTTTTTAAAGGAATGCAATTTTATCTCTGCTTTTTAGTTAAGATCAAGAGTAGTAAAAGAATTCGTAGTAATGAACACTGGAAACTGAAGAAAAACACTACTGAAATAATCTTTTGTTAATATGTACTTCTATAATCACAACTAGCTCATATTTAACTAGCAAATACAACTCAGATTAGCACAGAAAGTAAATCTGTTTTTATGTAATTTCGTTCAGGAATTGTAGCTAAAATACCAAGGGAAGAAAAACATACATATTTTATTTTTTATTTGTTTGAGACAGGGTTTCTCTACTTGACCATTCTGGTTGTCCTGGAACTTACTCTGCAGACCATGCTGGTCTCAAACTCACAGAGATCTATGGCCACCACTCCCCGGCAAGACCGGTTATTTTCAGTAACAAAAAACGGGCAAGCAAAACCCCTTTAGCCTCAGGAGAAACCTGCTCAGCTCTTTAAGGAAAACTTAAGTGTGGGTATCTGCAACTCAGTTTCATCATAGAAAGTGGAGTATGACAAGACTGATTAATGGTAGATTTACTTATTTTTGTGCCTATCCTAAATAAATGGAAGCCTATGGGTCCTATTCTACCTGTGCCATCTTCGTTACTGTCAAGCCAGCCCTTCCTCTCCACTCACTGGTTACATATATATGCCTTTTGACTTTTTCTTCAAGCAGTTTCAGCCACACTCAGGTACTTTATTGGGATGTCCAGATTCTTTGAAGATATTATTACTTTTATTAGTAATCTATTTAAACTCCACATGGAGTGTTAGACAAACTATGTTAAAGTGAAAAATCATTTTGAGAAGTTCTTTAAATGTATGTGTGAACAATTAATGACAGGTACATAGAAAAAAATGAATAATTCATCAGTAAATTAAAGAACCATTTTTGCACAATCCTGAAAATGTCAATGTTGAGCATGAATTTAAGCAAAATATTGGGAAGATAATTATAAGTTTTTACCTACATGGTTAAAAAAATCAATATAGGGTAGAAGGAGAGGACAAATTACTTCAAGTTATTCTCTGACCTCTACTTGTGTGCCCATGGCACATGTGCATATACAAGTGCACACCAAACACAAACTTAACTGAGTATTTTTCAAAGAAATAGAATTTATTGCTGGGTGGTGGTGGTGTATACCTTTAATTCCAGCACTTGGGGAGGGAGTTAATATACATGTTTATTGGTTAGCTGCATTATATCATCATTGAAAACATCTTACCTGGGGGCATAAGTTTCATAAGCACTCTTGCTCCATCTCTAAGAGGTGGCATATTTAGGTTGCTCCCTAAGTCTGCAACTTGCCAAAGGAAAGAGATGTATCTGGGATGAAGTGACATAATCTACAATATAAAATACACAAAATATTTACTTGTAAATTATTCCTTGGCTTCAAAAAGCTCTCCCTAAAATTTGAAATCTCCATAGTTTGCTCCTGTTGTTCTTCCTTATCTTACCTTTACAAATCTTCATGATGCAGACCTAATACATCATCTCAGCCACATTTGTGATAGCTTTCTATTGTTTTATTAAACTGTTTCTTTTCACCTGCATGTAACGTAAGATGACTCTGGATATAACAAAACTGCCACATGCCACTACTAAATTCCTAACTAGTTTGTTCTTACACTCAAATGGCTGGTGTTATTGAAGACATTCAAGTTCTTAGGAGGGGTGAAAGAAGAGGTCAAGAATGAGAGACGTCACTTTCTTTGGATACAATCTGAGAAAGATTACAGCTACACACAAAATTTTGAAAGGATCCATTTTATAGGACAAATGTATAAGACAGTAATAGCTTTCTAAATCTGTATTCTGAAATGTTATAATCAAGCCCGAAATTAGTTATATATACAAAAATAACAAAATAGATCCTCATCACAGTTTTGCTTAAAATTTCAACTGACTTAAAATTAATTACCTTTCAGGGGGCTTGACTGAAATTTACATGGACAATTTTGTAGACACTTTGCCTCACTAGACAAAGAGTTCCTCAAAAGAAAAAACTAAACAAAAACAACAAAAACCCTCAAAAACCCTTTTTATGTACTTGCCTATTCAACAATTCTAGCACAATGGCTTGCACAACTGAATCTACTTACCACTCCAGGCAAACAGCTTTCCACTTCTGGATTGGGGCCATCACTGTAATGATTACCATGGTTTCCAGGAGATCCAGTTGAGGAATCAGAAGAGCTATCAGGACTTGAAGGCATATTGGAGCTTATTTGTGTAAGTTTGGCTGTAATTAGCTGAAAATGATACATATTAGGATCAAAGACAAGAAAAAAAAACACATAAAAAAGAAAACTTGCAACCTAGTGATGTAACAATAAGTGAATCCAAAAACTATAGATGTTGGACCTGGACAACTGCCTGAGTGATGAACAACACTGTCTACTTTTGCAGGGACCTGGGTTTAATTCCCAGTACCCACATAGGAGTTCATAACTGTAACTACAGCTCGAGGGGATCCAATGTCATCTCTTCTGATCTTCAAGGGCAACACACACAAATGGTACAGACACATATGCGTGTAAAACAAAAACTAGATGCTAATATTTTCAAAAAGTGTATTTAAAAAGTACTCATTATAATCATTTGTTTTGATATATTTTTAAGTATTCCAAGGCTTGTTTTGTTTTGTTGGAGACAGGGTTTCTCTGTATAGCTTTGAAGCCTGCGCTGAAACTCACTCTATAGACCAGGCTGGTCTGGAACTCAGAGATCCACCTGTCTCTGCCTCCCGAGTGCTGGGATTAAAGGTGTATGCCACCATTGCCCGGCATAGTATCCCAGTGCTTATTTGCATTAATGTTAGTTATAACCCTAACATCTAACATATCAAATACTTGACAATGGAATATAGGCTTAAGTTCTATTAAAAATTTTTCTTTTGGAAAGCTGGGCGGTGGTGGTGCACTCCTTTAATCTCAGCACCTGGGAGGTAGAGACAGACAGATCTCTGTTAGTTTCAGACCAGCCTGGTCTACAAGAGCTAGTTCCAGGACAGCTTCCAAAGCCACAGAGAAACCCTGTCTCCAAACACACACCCCCCCAAAAAAACTTTTGTAACTCTCTTTCTCTCTCTCTCTCTCTATATATATATGTGTGTGTGTGTGTGTATATACTTACTGATTTATCTTTTAGGTTTAATTGTCCAATCAACTTTCTGTCATCTCCAGGATCAATCAGCTCACCACCCACAAAGAGTTCAATTTTCGTATGAGCTACATTAGCTTTAATGCGATTGAGAATACATCGTCGAACTGAACCAATTGTATCATTTGTATGAGACCAGACCTCCAAGTCATCTACTTGTCTGCCCTGGTTTGGAAATCGAACTATAAAGGAGAGGTGTTTACCACGGAAAGCTCTGGTGGGGAAAAGAAATGGAAAATATCATATGTAGCAGATTTCCAAATTTAGCTGCCAAGAAAATAAAGATGGAAATTTAACATGGAATATTTTCTTATTAAAGGAAGTAAAGATTTTTAGTGACCCTAAAATAAAAATTATTTTATAAACACTGCAATATCCAAAATACAATTCCATTGTTATTACTTTTATACCCATAGCTGCATAAAATGATGTACTGACCTATAAGAAATTTATATAAATGGTACCTCATTCTAGTAACCTAGCTAACTGAGTGTAAATAGAAGGATTATAGAGTTTAGGGCCAGAATGAGCACTCAAAGTAACTCTGTCCAACCAGCCACCAAAATTAAGAAACAGAGAAATATTTCAATTCATTTTATGCTTATAAAGTCTAACTCACTAATTGCTATTTACAAATATGCAGGGTAAGATTTATCTTAAAAGAGCACCAACAAAAAAGTTGTTATGCATTTTGCCTGAATTTTATTTATTTATGAGACAGGGTCTCACTGTGTAGCTCTGGCTGACCAAGGTACTGTCTTCTGCCTGAGTACTGGGATTAAATGCATGCACCACTGCCCAGAATTTTCCTCCAAAATGCTTAACATCAACTTACTCCAAAACTATAATATGTTGGCATATCATTTTGAAGGTATGATAACAAAAAGGTAAATTATATTCATCAAGCAACAACTTTAAATATCAATGGAATTACTAAATGGTAAAACCTAAAAAGAAATAGGCTGGGAGGTGGTGGCCTACACCTTTAATCCCAGCACTCGGGAGGCAGAGGCAGGCGGATCTCTGTGAGTTTGAGGCCAGCCTGGTCTACCAGAGCTAGTTCCAGGACAGCCTCCAAAATACAGAGAAACCCTGTCTCAAAAAAACCAAACAAACAAACAAAAAGGGAGCACAAGGACCAGGTTAGGTTTGTAGTACCTGCATGATAGCTCATCTCACACAGGGTTCAAGTGTATGCAACACTAGTCCCAGGGGATCTAATGCTTGTTTCTTACTTCCAAGTTATGCACATGAACAAATACATATATACGGGCCAACACTCATACACAGAAAAATAAAAGAAAGAAAAAGAAGTAAGTAACTATGTACTATGTTCTCTCATTCTTCTTTTTCTTTTTTTGGTAATTGAATCTCACTATAGAGCCTTGGTTGGTCTACAGCTCTTTATATTGACCAGGTGAGTCAGTCTCAAACTCCCCTGCCTACACCTTCCTGAGCATTGAGCTAACAGCCATGCTATAATGTTTAACAGTATAAACAAGTATAAAAACTTAGGCTGGGAGCCGGAGAGATGGCTCAGTGGTAAAGAGCACAAGCTGCTCTACCAGAGGAGGCATGTTCAATTCCCAGCACCCACATGGCAGCTCACAACTGTCTGTAAATTCCAGCTCCAGGGCACCTGACACCCTCACACATACATACATATAGATAATACACCAATGTACATAAAATGTAAGATTATTAAAAACAAAGAAACTGAGGCTAAAGGGATATCTCAGTTCCTAAGAGTGCTTGGTGTATATACAAGCACCAAACATGAGGATCCAAGCTCAAATCCCCAGCACCTACATAAAAAAAATTAGAAGTGGGCTGGAGAGATGGCTCAGAGGTTAAGAGCACTGACTGCTCTTCTAGAGGTCCTGAGTTCAATTCCCAGGAACACATGATGGCTCACAACCATCTGTAATGAGACCTGGTACCCTCTTCTGACATGCAGGCAGATCAAAGTATACATAATAAATAAAGAAGCACTTGTAACTCTAAAAATGTGAATGGCAAAGACAGGATGATTAGGGGCTTGTCTAGCTCCAGGTTCAGTGAGAGACATTGTCTGAAGGGAATATAATAAGGCAGAAATGACAAACAGGACATCAAAAGTCCACCTCTGCCTTTCATGAGTGAGCATGGTGGGTACATCTGCACACATGTGTATATGAAACTTAGGGCCTATGAGGTGTCTCAGCATGTAAAGGGGTTGCTACCAAACTCCAAGTTTGGTTCCTGGAACCCAAGGACCCAAATGGTTAAAAGGCTTCAAAGAACTGAATTCCTTAAATGGTCCTCTGATCTCCACACTCAAACCACGGCATGTTTATGGCAACATATACAAAATAATTTGCTACACAGTGAGAACATGTTTAAATGAAACAATCCCACAAACTTTTTTTAAAAAACCACATAAGCTCTGACCCACTTTCTCTCTTGGGGGTGTTTACTTCCCTAAAAAACTGTTCTATCACAAAAATAAGCAAACATTTCCATAAGATACTTGTTTTTTTTAAACAGCAAGACACATTTTCAAGAAGATTAATCTCTTCTCTTTTCCTTGTACACATTTAAGAAGAAAAAGGGAATGGTTGGAAAAATACCAAACAACTAAAAATTAATCCATTGATCAGTTATCCATATACCTTGACATAGGCAAAATTGTTCTTTCTTCATGATAATCACTGTCACATTCATTTATATATTCTCTTAGAACAGTTAATACTCGAACCATTCGAACAGCTTCTTGTCTTGCACAATTAATACTGTCTTTGTCACCATCCAAAACACACAATGTGTCGTAAGAGGCTTTCAAACGATCAAAACAAGACTGAATGAAGTCTTCGTGGATCACCACCTACAAATATAATGGGACAAATAAAAGGGTAAGATGAGAATACCTAACAACATGGCTCTAAACAATAATCACATTTAAGCAGATAGTCAGTTTTGAAAGGAAGCTAGTGTCAAATAAGTTAAGGACAAATGAAATATAAAGAAATTTAGAGGATTATGATACTGGTTATGAAAATAAACTCAACACAGTCTTTACTATTTCAATATAAAAATCAACATTCAAAATCCAACCATTTCAAGATCATTCTCAATGCAAGATTCATTTAGTATTCTATACAGGAGATATAAAAACTTGGTATTTTACAAATGTATGTATTTTGAGGTAAAGTGTCACTATAGTCCAAGCTGGCTTTAAAAACCTATAATTCTCCTGCCTCCAGCTCTTAGATGCTAAGATTACAGGCATATAGGACCACAGTCAGTTTTTATGTTTTTAAGAGCTGAAACAAAACAATTTCCAATTAATTCTGAATTAAAAGAAAGAATCATATAAGCATTACAACTGGAATTCTAGTTTGTGGAAGTTTTAATGCAAAATGATCCATCCTCACCTGATTGACCTGCAGCCTTGGACCAAGGTTTGTGTATATTTCTTTAAGAAGATCTATAGCACGGCTGGCAATATCATCATTACTCTGAATTACAACCTATATTATAGAATCAAGAAATGTTTCAGTTAAACATTTAAATTCAAATCATATCCTTAGCTATTTTAAATAGGCTAACAATGTAAAGGTTGACTAAGTGAACTTGAGACATACAGATCAAAACATACAACTTTTTGAATAAAGAAATTTAATAAATGACGTTTTACTACAAATGAAATATGCTTTGACCAAACTCTTGAGACTTTCAAGGAGAGATTCAAACTAGTTAGACAAAAACAAGATGCTACATAAATATAGCTTAGTATAAAAATTCTCCCTTGTCGCTCAGTTCCATAATATTTACAATTTATACTTCATTACACTGGTGGTTTAGATGAAGTGTGTCAGGGCTTGGCCCTGTTAAGAGACTTGGAGAGTGTAAGGTGAAGAAGCCTGGAGACAATGAACAAATATACACAGACTTCTTCTATTCAACTATGTTTACAATTTTAGACTATTATGTCATGTTTGATTACTGTTATTATTATCTTTGGAAATCAGGATCTCAATCTGCATCGGTAGCCTAAGGCTGCCTTAGAACTCAAAATATTTCACCTTCCAAGTATATGCCACCACTCTCTCTGTATCTAAAATGCCAATTTGAATTAACAGAAGGGTTTGTAATATTAAAATATGTGCTGGAGACTGAACCCTGGGTTAAATCCATGCATCAAGCCCTTCCATTGCTTATAAACAAAAACAAAACAAAACAAAAAACCCTAAGCTTTACTTATTTGAAAAGTTAAGCACTAAAATATCACACAAAACATCCTTGTCTATGCGATTTGCAGACATTTAAACATTAAGTGAAAAACAGAAACTATATATAACCAACCTAATTTTTAAAGATAGAAATATAAAACATCATAATAATTTAGCCTTAAATAGATTAACACTATACTTTTCTATGTTTTAAAAAATGTTAAATATTAATAAGGAACACACCAATGCAGGAAGATAACTATGAATCTCAGACTCTTGGAACAAGCATCAGATAACACACATGTAATTTATATGCCACATTTAAAGTTACTTATTCTAAGAACATCAGCTACAAATGCTGACAGAGCTCCTACTTTTGACTTACCCTCCAAAGATAGTCTAATCCTATCAACTCCAAATCATCCATCATATAGGCTCTTCTTTTTGCTACTAGTTTTCCTTCTCGACAATTCACAGCTTTGAAGAATCTCTCAAAACATTTCATCCCATTCTCAGTTAACAAGGAAGGATCAAGCTGAAGCACATTACTTTCGAAGAAGTCCTTATTGATATCAGGATCTAAGTCTGGTTCATCCCCCATTAATTTGGAATACCACTTGAAACAGGCTTCACGATCACAGAGGTAAACTGCATTTTCAGCTAAGCACTTCCATATTTGTTTTGCCTGAGGAGCACACAGCCACAGTTGTCCATCCTTCAATAAAAATCTTAGAAAAAAAACCAAAAGATTAATTTATTTGATATAACACAACCTACTTGCTTATATATGATATAATACCTCTATCATAATTATATTTTTAATTACAAATGTCAGTTCTTTTGAAGAACTTAACAGTTTTTAGTTGAGAGTTCCAAGACAGCCAGGGCTACAGAGAAACTGTCTCAAAAACAAAAAGATCCATTAAAGACAGTATATTCAAATATCAAACAAACCTAAGAAAGTTAAGCCGTTCTTGGACTTCTTGAACATGACTATATCTACTTCCCAGTCTCACAGTTTGTGGGTCATAGTCTTCATGATCTGCAAATTAGGAAAAATATAACACATTCATATGGATAATCATACCACCATAGGTCAAGCAATGGCCTATCAGTTATTTAAAAAAATCACTAATCTGGCTAGGGTGGTTGGTGGTAGCACATACCTTTATCCCAGCATTCAGGAGGCAGAGGCAGGTAGATTTCTATGAGTTTGAAGCCAATCTAGTTTACAGAGTGAGTTCCAAACAGCCAAGGCTACAGAGAAACCCTGTCTTGAACCCCCTCAAGAAACAAAAAACCCACAAAAACAAAACAAACCATTAATCTTCTATCTTCAATCATCTAATAGGGCAACTGAAGATCTACTAGTAATTGTTACATTGACAGTTGGTGCTTTCCAACTCATCTAATATCCTAACAAAATACACTAAATTCTGGCTAAGAATATTAGAAACGTTATGCTACATCCTCCTGGTATTACAATCAGAAGGCAGATCATGTCACTTTGTGTTAATCGTCACTTTGATTACATAGTCGAAATGGTTTCTACCAGGCTTCTCCACTACCAAGATGCTATTTTCCCCAGTAGTATTAGCACCAGCCCTGCTCTATTCTGTGTTTAATTCCTAACACCTTAGACATAGAGCTTTGGAAAAATTCAATGAAAGCCAAATAATCAAGAAAAGTCAAGAAATTTGACAGTAGCTTAGTGCTACATGGAAGAGAGGTCTTCTACAGAAAAACATTGAGACTATTAAGAAATAGTTGAGTTTGGCATGATGGTGCACAACTTTAGTCTCAGCAATGGGGAGGCAGAGGCAGGCAGATCTTTACGAGTTTGAGTTCAGTTGGTCCACATAGTTAAGTTCCAGGCCAGGCAGGGATATAGAGAGCGATCCTGTTTCAAAAACAAAACACTAAACAAAAGTTGATACTTGGACTGTAAATATCCAGTCCTAACAATTCCTTGATTTGTAAGCAAATAAAGACAACGCACTGCTGATTTGTGTTGTCTATGTGGCAGGTATCCCATGGAGGAAATTTATATGATCAATTTAGGTATCTTTGAAAATGGGTGGGAAGTGATAATAAATCACAGCTGGGAACCAACATAATCAGTTCTTGTTATTTTAAGTATCAACTTGTAAGAGCCATTTCAGAATGCTTTATAAAAAATTAAGTTGTGGTTAGAGAATTGGCTGAGTGGATGAGATCATTTGCTGCTCTTATATGAGTTGGGTTCAATTCCCGGCACAGCAAGGTGGCTCAAACTGTATGTAACTCCAGTTTTGGAGAGACCTGATGTACTTTTCTGACCTCTTCAGGCATACATACATACATGTAGGCAAAACATTCATTTATATAAAATAAAATACATCTAAAACAATTAAGTTTTCCTGTTAAAAAGACTTGAGAGAAATATATTTCAATTATCAACCTACCAACTTAAAATTTTTAGGTTTTTAGGAGAGTTGTGTAATCAGAAGTCTTGTAGTATACTACATTTTTACCTCAAATACTATACAAATCATCTCCTCCTTACAAATCATCTCCTTTTCCTCCCCATACCCAACCCTAAGAAATGTTGGCAGATATCACAGAAGTAACTTAATGTGAGTTCAATAGGATTTCAGTAGCTTTAAAAATTACCTGATACCCATATTGAAACATCTACAGACTAGTGTTCACAAGAACAATACTATGGATTAGAAGAAGAAATCGGATTAGACTGATTAGGACAAAGAGCCCTCAGTGAAACTGGAATCACAGGACTCATTTTGCCTTCAGCATGATGTACCATTTTACTTGGTGACAGCAGTACAAGGGAAATACAACTATCCTAAGTTATTCTTCACCCATCTCCACTTTTGTAGACAATTCATTTGGCATTGAATGTTCTAGTTTCTTCAGGTATAACCAACTGTAGATAGAACACTGTCCCTATGGCTACTGTCTTCCCTTTGGGCAGAATGTCTGACACTAAGTAAGAGTCAGAGGCAGGACAACAGCCACTTTTCCAAGAATGATATCCCTGCCTTAACAATAGATGTTGGAATGAAAGAAAAGAGGCCCACTAATTTCCCTTGGTATAGAGCACTGGAGTTAGCTGTGATGGGGGTAACTAAGGTCCTAATTTGGGCCTATAATGCTTAGAGGTACATTTCACCTTATATAGTCACTAAGTGGGCAGAGTAATGAGTCCTTTCATCCACATCTGCCTGTAAGAGGGCTTCTGTAACAAAGGAATAAGGATAAAAAGGTCAGCAATTTGCTATTGAGAGGCCAAGTGCAGTCTTAGGAGCCATGGGGAGGAGGGTAGTACTACTTAGTCAGACCAGCCCAGAACAGTTTCTACAGGGTGAAGCTGACTGGAGATAAACGAACAAGTTGCGGCTCAAATGACTTAGGTCTTATTTGTTAAAACTCCTTATAACAATTTCTAGGCACTATTTTTTGTATTTTTATCCAGGTAAATGATTGTTTTGGCCAATAAAAGCCAAATTCTTCATCCTTTGGACATAAACATGATTCTCTGGTCACTTTCATACTTTTCCCAGTAAGATATCCTTGCTCCAGGTATAATGAGATTCACACAATATATAAGCAAATTCTGTGATTTACTGCACAATTACAAATTCAGAAATATTGGCAAATAATATCACAGAAGTAATTTAATGTGAGTTCAATAGAATTTTAGTAGCTTTAAAAATGACCTCTTGCCCATATTGGAATATCTACAGAATAGTGTTCACTAGAACAGTGCTGTGAATTAGAAGAAGAAATGATCCCAAGACTGATTAGGACAAAGAGAAGGTGTGTAATGTCAATGAATTTAGAGGGGGGAAAATCCAGTGCTTACTATGTGCCAGATATTGTTTCAGCATGAAAAACTTGTTCAAGGTCATAAGATACTATTTTTTTTGCTCATTATTTCAGATTCTGGATAATATATATGCAGACTGACATGTATTCACATACAGAAATAGACAATATGAGAAAAAAAAGTTAAATGGAAGCATTCTTGTGACCATAAAACTAAAACGAGTAGTACTTCAAATGGAGCAGACACTAAACTACACATGTACCACCTCCCAAGTACCCAAAAGCAGAGTCCCCAGCCTCTGGCAATGAAAGGCAAGTACATAAAAGATCAGAAGTAAAGCACACATAACCTGTATGGTTCCTTCCTTGAGGCAAAGACTGCAGGAAAAATTACCAATGGCTCTGTATAACCAAGAGATCATAGAAAAATAGTCCGACGAATTAAATCTCAAAGTTTAAATGTCTGTGTATAGTGCTTATGACCTTCTTATTAATTACTGATTTTGGTTTTCTTTGGTATAGATTTATACCATATGGTTTTATGCCTATATGGCTTTCAATGTGGTGATAAGAAACAAGACTAAAAGGATGAAAGATCATTACTTGGTGCTTCTCAGCTGACTGAGGCTTTAACTGTTTTATGGGCCATCATCTAGGACTTACCTAGCCCAAATTTTAAGAGCAGAGTCAACAAAATCAGTAGGGTTCTCTTGGAGTTGCTTTTTTATTATGTTTACTTGAAGTTTTAGTGTTAAAACAAAAGTTTGGTGATTCCTAAGTGCCATGAATTTGATGCAAAGCTAAGTTCATTCTACTGAAATAGTGTTGCAGATAGACTCATTTTTAATATACACTACTGCAGACCCTATAAAATACCAATGAATTGTATATATAGAAACCAAATCAGAACCTATGAGATGACTTTTCTTTTGGGAGTGCTGAACTATAAATCTGACATAAAACAGAGAAGAATGTGTACTAAGAAGCACACTACTGAAGAGATTCTGACATGGCTAAACTTAGAAGGCAAAATATTAACATAAGGCTCCACATATGAAAGAAACTTTAAAAGGCTTACAGAAAACATGTTTTCTTTCTTTCCTTTTTTTCTTTCTTTTTTGGTTTTTTGAGACAGGGTTTCTCTGTTTAATATAGCCCTAGCTGTTCTAGAACTTGCTCTGTAGATCAGGTTGGTCTCGAACTCAAGAGATCCACCTGCCTCTGCCTCTCAAGTGCTGGGACTAAAGGCATGGTGTAATAACAAAACAATTCAGACATATTTCTAAAGGTTTTAAGAAATTCTTAGTAGTGACTGACAGAGCTCCAAGTAGGGAAGAAAGAGAAACTACATTTAACAAGGGAAGGTAAATACTGAGTAAAAAGCTTTGAATGCTAGACTGATGTTTAAGTTATATAAGATCTGGTTGTCACAAAATAAGAATTCATAAAACTGTCTTTTTTTAAAAATGTCATTTTTAAGGTAATTAATAGAAAACAGCAATCACTGTTACTTTCCATCATTCAGTTATCCTACAATACATACCTCTGGCATACAATCTCATGCTTTCCATGTAAGTTGCAAGGTTTTCTGCTACCAAAGTAACTAGGGCATGATTGTGCTGAAGTTGATTGATTAAGTCATGACGATAAAATACATGGGGGCTTCGCTGAGTTTGACTGAAACGAGAAGAGCTTAATAATATAATTAGGCAATTAAACTCTGTTGCAATCAAGAGTTTATTACAACTAAATTCTTAGCTACTAATTAAATTAAAAAGCCAGTTTTGCTCATTTACTTTCTCTAATGACATTAAGCAATTTAAAAGAAATTAATGTGTCAAAAATAAAAGATTGTATTACTTGAATTTCAAGCATCAGTTTCTATTTACTTCACAAGGAGTCTACTTTAATGACTATGCCTACTCCCATAATATGGTAGAAGCAAAGAAAGCATTTGTGTTAGAACAAAGGGCTACCAGAAAATTACAAAAATCTAAACTTCTTTGTATAACCAGAATTGTAATTGCCAGCTAATAATGGCAATTTTATAATTTTTTATTAGAGGATAGAGATATGACTTAGCAGGAAAAGGCACTCGGCACCAGCTTGAAAATCTGAATCTGATTATCATTATTCTCACTGTGGAAGGCAAGAACTGACTGACCCCCACAGGTTGCCCTCCAACTGCCACACAATGTAGCATGAGTCCCCATCCCACTCAAATAAAAAGTGTAAACAAAAAAAATTTTTAGTTAGCTATTTAAATTTCACACTGGGAACATTTAGTTTGTAGCAGTTGTTCTTGTCACCAGAAAGACAATTCCTTTCCAATTTGTTCTGTTATATTCTCTGAAACTAGCCAACTTTCATAGCCACTACTATTATTCTAGTATAGAGAAGGTCATTAATTTCTAGGAGAGTAGCTTAATACTATGTCTTCATGGAATCAATAAATTTGAGAAAGGTCAAGTGGTGTTATGTACACTGAACCAAACACACTCAAATAGAGTACTTTGACAAACATTACCCCCCTCCCCATTTGTATCTATTACACAGAGAAATCGTGATTTAGAGAATGGAGATTAAATGACTGTATTGTTTACATTTTATTTAGAAACATCAGTTCCACTACATTCAGCTCTTTATTTCTATACCAACCACTCTAGCTCCATTCTCAGATTCATTTCAGTAACCAGATTTTGGAAGCTAAGATAGTACATTTATTTCACTCACTAAATTACTTTGTTTCTTCTTTTTAAAATATTTATTTTCATTACATGTGTATGAGTGTTTGCCTATATTTGTTTGTGCACCAATGTATGTGCAATGCCAAACTGAGGCAAGAAGTGGGCATGGAATCCCTTGATACTGGAGTTACAGATGGTTGTGTGCTGAAGTAATCTTAACCACTGCACCATCTCTCCAGTTCCTAGTTTTGTTTATTTATTTGAATACAGTTTCACTATTTCATCCTAGCTGGCCTGGAACTCACTGTGTAAACCAGCCTGGCCTGAATCCACAGAAATCCATCTGTCTGTTTCCTGAATGGTTGGGCACCTGATATTAAAAAGTTCAGTGCTCCATCATGTCATCTATTATGATTTAAATTTTCATGTAATTCAATCTCCTAAAGTAACTTTAAAAATTGACAACTAAGAATAATTTTTTTAAAAAAACTATCACAGGACAGCCTGAAACAGCAGTTATCATCTTGATTCTGATGCTGATAACTTTCCTCATTAATGAAACAAAGGAGGTAGAAATGACAAAGATTCTTTTGTTCCAAAGGAGCCCTTCTCTCAGTTTTCTGTCACTCCATTAATTTTTTAAAAAGATTTATTTATTTTATGTGTATGGGCGCTCTATTTGCATGTACACCTTTCTGCCAGAAGAGGGCATCAGATCCCAATAGAAGGAGTCATGAGCCACCATGTGGTTGCTGGGAATTGAACTCAGAACCTTTGGAAGAGCACTCAGTGCTCTTAATTGCTGAGCCATCTCTCCAACTCCCATTAACATTTTTTAAAATTTGCTTTAACCAAGTGAAATTTGTCAACAAAACAAATTAAAAAAATTGTTTAGTTTTAAAAGTCTTACCTCAAATTTTGGGGCGCTTCGCCAAACAAACTACAAATTTCTCTAATTTGTTTCAGTGCAGGAATGACCCATTTGTCATTTGTGCGAAGTTCTTCTATAAAGCGATCTATCCACTGGATCTTTTGTGTGTCCCGGTCCTTAAACAATTTCAAGGTTTTATATAGATCAATGATAAATGTATATCATAGTGAAATTAAGCTAAATTCCAATTGTCCATGGAATCAGAAAAATCAGTTTTTCTTATATTAACTGATATTTTACTTTCTGTAATTGTACATAGTTTAATTTTTTTAAAGGAGTTGTCTTAACTTCCCATTTACTACCAAACTCTAAAAAGTAAAAGAGAAAATTAACTACATACATTCAGTATAATTTGAATTAAAACTTGCCAGGCTTGAATTTTAATGTTTTAAATTAAGAGATTTTTACCACACTACAAAATCATGTAACACCTTGATGAAATGATCTACTATTTAGGAAATTCTACTAGTTGTTCTTAATCTTTTATGAGCAAATAAAACATTTTATTTCCAAAGTCCCTAACTCAGCTTTAATACTGTATGATCTATTTGAAACTAGTTATGTCTTTACCATATATTAGACAACACTATCACTAAATGAATGACCTATTGTTTGTACTTTCTCCCAGAGACTCAGATGGTTCATTAGTTATTGTAGAGACGTTAAGAAAGGCAGACTTACATGAGACATCAGTTCTTGATACCATTTAAAAGATAATGCCAGAATAACCTAAAATTCTCCTATATTTAAGCCATCCTAACACCGAAGGTGCAGGAAAGTCATAAAACCAAGCCAAACAGCACCCCCTTACCTGGGAGCAACTATAATCTAGTATTTTGATATGAGCACTGAGAGCCAGGTCCATAATATCTACAGGTACATCATCACTGTGGGCTAGATTCCACAGAAGGTTCAACACTTTATGCGCCATTACACCATCTTTATCATCCTCTGCAAGACGACGAATCAACTCAAGAAGCTTTTCACGTTGTTTTTTACTTGCATTTGTCCAACTGGCCTAGAAAGACATTTAAGTGATAAGAAAATTCATATTTGGTTTTTGCTCTTTATAGAGCTTGTGTGGGTAAAGTTGAAGATTTCTCTGATTTTGGGGTCAGCATGGTCTACAAAATGAGTTCCAAGCCAGCCAGGGATACAGTGAGACACATTCTCCCCAACTCAATACAAAAGTACTTACTATTTAGTAACTTCTTGATAAACATTTATTAATCCAAAGGGGAATCAACCAATCATTAAAGAATTAATCATTAAGAAATTATCTAAAGATTATCCTGGGTGGGAGAGGTCCCAGGAGATACAACAACTGTTCTATTTCTTTCCTTCATACAAGTATGTTGGTGGTTATGTATCACCACCATCTGAAGAGTTATCCCAAGATTAAAGATGAATGACTATTAACTTTAGGGCATTTATAATAACTGATTACATTATTTCCTCAGCTGTCTTTAACATACTTCAAAAAGAAGGGGAGAATGTATACAGCAAGTTTATCTTTCTGTATGTGAAATGTGTAAGATGATACTTAAAAATACAAAAACATTCATTTGCTTACTAAAAATATGGACTTCTAGAGCCAGGTGGTGCATGCCTTTAATCTCAGCAGGGGCAAGTGGATCTCTGCATTCAAGGCTACCCTGATCCATAGAGCAAGTTCCAGGACAGGACAGCCAGGGGGGCTATACCGAGAAACCCTATCTCAAAAAAACAAAACAAAAAAATGCCTCCTAGGCTTTGTACCTCGTGACTGTGACTAACTTAATATGCCTGGGGAAGAGGGTAATTTGTTCCCCTACTGTGAAATATATTCACGAAGATGTAAACCTAGACCACCAGAGAATAAATGAATATTTTCAAACACGAAGAAATATCACCAGTATTTTCTAAATATAAAGATCCCTGTTATCTAGGGGGAAAAAATCCTATAGGCCTGTAGGCAGGCTTTCTAAGAAGTCATAATGTGAAATTATGGAGTACATTGTTCACCCTGGTAATAATTGTTCTAGATCAAAGCCTGTCCTCTCTCTGAGAAATCATATTGATTAAGCATACATTAACAATAAAGTCTGAATTGGTCTTTATCTGGGAAATAAAAAGATGTAAACATGTTTCATCAAGCATCACAGACATCAATATAACCATTAAAAACCACATGTGGTAAACAGAACCCAAGAAGCCATCTGGAACTATTTCTGAAGTTTATGTTAATTTAATCAAGGCAGAGATTATTACATGGTTTGAAGTCATTTTTCAGTGTTCTGCCAATGATACTCATTCATGTTAAATCATTCCAGTTTGTTTATTCCCACTGCCATGAAGTACTCCATTATATGGACATCCCTTTCTACATTTCCTTTCTACATAGTCATTTGTAGCTATTATATATAAAATACTTCAGTTAAAGTGGTTTTCAACATGCACTCTGGTGTACATATCTTGTGATGTTTGGGGCTGAATGAGAGCCTTGCAATGCTAGCCTTACAATTCTGCTGAGCTATACTAATATTCCCAAGAGTACTGTACTTCATCAGAAATACCACTTAACCTTCCAAAGTATTGCAGCAACTTAGATTCCCAGTCAGAAACCATTATTTGGTAGTAGTAATATTTGGTGATCTAATGCCAACTGTTAACAGGATCTCCCTTAGTGAACACTGTCATAATGTCTTATATTCTTAACCCACAAGTTCACTAACCAATTAAGCATTCGCTGAGAGTTTCAGCAACTGATGAGACTGTTAAAACTAACATGAAGTTGAAGGTACATGACAGGACCAATGGAAATGTAACTGTAATGATCTTGATGCTATTAAGTTATGCTTTACATAAGCATATATCCACAGAATATCATGATACTCGTTTTTTCTTCTATTATCTCTTAAATTTCTCATAATCATCCTTTCCTACTTTTCTAAAGTTTACTTCAACCTATTTCCAAAATACAGAATGGGAAAAGAAATCCAAAATAACATGAATTTTGAAAATGAATGACACTCATCAGGGCTATTAAGCACTATTATGAAAATCAAGTTGTTTTGTTTGACAAGAGTTTCTCTGTAACATTGGAAGTTGTCCTGGAACTCGCTCAGTAGACCAAGCTGGCCTGGAACTCAAGAGATCTTCCTGTCTCTGCCCTCCCAAGTCCTGGGATTAAAGGTGCGCTGTGCCGTTGGCACTGCCTCCTGGCTCAAATCAAGTTCTTATAAGCAAGGAAAACACTAACAAAATCCTTCACACCAGATAAAGTCCTTCACATCATAGACTATCTTATGAGATTTTAATTAATGGTTGGCTAAGAACAATTTGTAGTTCTCATGAATCAATTCTATCTAAAATTAAAATAGTAATAACCTCTCCATGTTAATAATTACCTTAAAGCAATCAAAAAGATGATCAAGTTGTTCAGGAGAAAAATCCCAAGCCAATTTGGCCAGTAGATCATGTACATTCTTCACAATGGCTTCATGTTTCCCTGCCTATTGAAAAATAAAAACAAAGATTATCACACACTAGGCTGCAAATAACAGAAACATTATACACACTGATTGCTGATGATCCTCAGGAGGAAGTTACTACCATCTCCATTTAATTATTAAATAATTCTTAACATTATTATTTTTAAAAAAATTATTATGTATATACTTGTCAGAATAGGATACCAGGATCTCATTATAGACTGTTGTGAGTCACCATATGGAGCTGGGAATTGAACACAGGATCTCTGGAAAAGCAGCCAGAGCTCTTAATCTCTGAGCCACCTCTTCACCCTCACATAAATTCATTTAGACCTGACAATTACATGTCTGCAAATACATACTTAATATGTACTTTAGAAATTCCTGTCAACTTGTTTGTTTTTCCAGACAGGGTTTCTCTGTGTACCCAGCCCTGGCTGTCCTGGAACTTGCTTTGTAGACCAGGCTGGCCTCCAATACAAGAGATCCACCTTCAAATGCTAGGTTTAAAGGCGTGTGCCACCACTGCCCAGCTTAACTTTGTAATATAGCTTATTGACTGAACTAAGATATAAATGCCATAAATAAAATACATTATTATTTTTCCCAAACTGGAACTTTAAATACTTAAAATCTTAAAATAGCAAGGCGATTTTTCTATTTCTATAAGCTAAAAAAGATTAAAGCTTTGTAAATAAGAACTCAACGACATTTATGTAGATTCCAGCTCTTAAAAACTTCTCAAAAAGGTTGCCAATCTTTCTGAGAAGTTTTAAGTCATTTAATAATAAATAATTGAGTGATTTAACTATACTGAAGGGTTTGCTAAGTCTATTAAAATGTCAATGGTATGTATTTTTCCAACAGATATATATTACTTTATTTTGTGATCCCTAGCCCTTGTTTTCTTGGCCAAAATCTTGCTTTGTAGCCTCTGCTAGTTTCTAACTCATGATTCTCCCCCTTTTCTACTTTCCATGTGCTGAGATTGCAGATATACACAAACACAATCAACTTTCCTATTATTTTATTTTTCACCTCTTTAACTTTTACCAAATATGAACTGTTGTGTACTTAAGCACTACTGACAATTTCAGGAAGTTTCTAGAAGAATTTCTACAAGAAGTAATTAAAGGTTTCAAAATCCTTACCTGTGCTGCCCAGATATTATCAAGATCTTGCAAGGTCAGAGCTTTTTCTTTGATGACAAAACGAAGAATTTTTTCTAGTTTCTCTACATACTGTGGTTGATGAAGACTATCTCGCAAAACTATGGATAAAATATTATTCTGCTGTATCCATTCCTAAAAAAAGAGATTTCGAAACAAAATCACTAAGACTTTTTAAAAGTACCAATATGAAGGAATCCTAAAGCATATTTACAAAATAATGTGCAAGTTTGCATGGTCAGAATACAAAATTACTTCTAAAAATCTAATTTTTACCCCTGAAATGAAATCTTGATATGTAGCACAGATTAGTCTTAAATTTGATATCCTCCTGCCTCCACCTCCATCCTAAGTGCTGGGATTAAACTGTTATTAAAGGTGTGCGCTACTATATCTGACACAGTAATTTATCAGAGTATCTCCACAAATTATATTCAAATCATTAAAGATTTTAAATGATAGTATTTAACTCACAAAAATATCATTTAAATGAAATATCACTAAACAAAACACTAAGGTTTAGGTAAAATGAGCATAATAAGGTCATCTTTGATATGTTTAGGTTCCTTGCATGAATTCTGGGGGCTGGAGAGATGGCTCAGTGGTTAAGAGCACTGGCTGTACTTCCAGGGTACCTGAGTTCAATTCCCACCAATCACATGATGGCTTACAACCATGGGAAATGTGATCTGGCACCCTCTTCTAAAATCTTTTTTTAAAAAAAAGGAAAAAAGAATTCTAATTCTGCTCTAAAATGGTTTTAATCTTAGACCAAAGATAGTTTTTAAAAGACTTTTATTTATTAATTAATTGCCATGTATCAGACTCTACTGTGATTCGCCACCTCTTGCATCTTTCAAACAATCCAAGTCAGAGATACACTGTCAAGATACTGGCACTAATACCTAAATCAAGTCTGCATACTTTCATTGTCTGTTTCCATAACACCGTGCTAGGCTAGGCTATAGCTTGACTGTCATTCTGACTCTATAGTATTCAACTTTCTGAGAATAAAGGTAGACGGGACCAAAATGTGTCCTATATATGAGTTTTTAGCTAGTAAAGGAGAAGTTTTAAAAATTTCCAACTTGTTAAAGGGATTTTTTCCCTAAGATATAACAAGTATATATCAATTGTCAAACTACTACAAAAAGTTTTAGATATTTAATGTCATTTTCTGTATGTTCTAGGATGAGTCACACAGCTCAAGGACCAACAACATTCCCAATGCAGACAGGCACATGACAGACACAAAATTTAGACATCACCTGCCCTCCTGACCCAGGGACAAGGTCTAAATATCCTAAATGTCCATATTTTTCTTTTTGTTGACTATTGAACCTAAGGCCTCACTGAATATATCTCTAACCTTTCCATAAGTATTTTTTAATCACATTTTAATGGTTTCCCCTATTAACAGAAGAGATCCTTGAAGGTAAAGATATGCATTTAAGTAACATGGGTTTTATAACTTAAATGGTAACTTATTCATTAGAGCTGTAATACATAAAATAGATACAGGAAAAAGTTTTGTAGGTATTTAATGCCAAGATGATAAAAACTTAAGCACTTAGAAAACAAATTCTCAAAAACCAAGATAATACAGTAGTTTATTCAGCTCTTATTCTAATATATATGACTGAGTCTCAATATGTAGCCCTCGCTAGCCTTAAGCTAATAGCAAATCTTCCTGCCTCTGCCTCCCCAGTGCTGAGATTCCCACCTGTGTTATTTCATGTTTTCAAGCTATTAACTAGAATTGGTCATATGAACAGGCCCCTTCTTCAATTATGTTCAACTATTATCTCCTTTTAATCAATTTCCCAGTTTATAGCAAAACTTGCAGTAAGTTAATGATTACATTCATCAATAGATAAAACAAGGCTCAGCTACCAAATAATTATGCTACTTTAGAAAGTTTGAGATTAACAATTTTGTAAGTTAATCAAGACAACAATCAATTTTCACCTTTAATTTAGAATGCTAACATTATGAATTTAAGCGACAGCCATTCTAGGTTTATTTATTTACTTGAAGAAAAAAAAAAGTGAAAGGACTCACAGCCATCCTCTCTGCCGTGAGCCACTCTTCTTCCTCAGGATTGCCATGCCGATGGGTATAGTATGACACACTAGAAATTACCTTATTAACTTCATTCAGTGCATTCATTTTTCCATTGAAAGAAGAAATTTGTAATAATCTGTAATAGAAATTCAGTTTTAAATTGATTCTAAAAATTTATGTGCATGATTATTTCCAAAGTCAGGGAACTTACCTAAGTATCATTTTTAGCCTAAATATTTCTAAGTTCTTTACAGTTTCTTCTTGTCCAGGAACCCGGGAAGCTAAATTCTTCAATGATTTAATAATCATTGAAAGAGCATCATTTTTGGCTTCATTCTTTGCTTCTTTCTTCAGTTCTTCATCAGTTAAGTTTTCTAAAAACTGTGGAACCATTTCTATTATTGGAAGAAAGTACTTTTTCACTGTGTGAAGAGTGAGAAACTCATAGCACTGTCCAAATGGTCTGAAATAAGACAGGAAACTTCTGTAAATACTCAATTTCTTAAAATCAATTCAGTAAATTCTCACAGTACATGCATTATTTTTAAAAACATCTAGTTAAGATAAAAAAAATCTCCACTTGAACTACTATTTGTCTTTAGATTTTTATTATTTTCTTTGGTTTTTGTGTGTGTGTGTGCTTGCGTTTGTGTTTGGATTGGTTATGTGCATGTGAATGCAGGTACTCTCAGAGAACAGAGATACCAGATCCCCTGGAGCTGGTGTTAAACACAGTTGTGGGCCACTAGCTGTAGGTGCTGGGAACAGAACAACTCATGTCATTTGAAAAAGCAGCCACTTAACCACTAAGACATCTCTCCAGTACCAATTACTCCATTTCTTAATTGAATCAAAATAAAATCAGAACCCCATAGAGTACTGAACATTTCATTTTAAAATATAACTTACTTAATAAGAGCTGCAATTATCTGAACGTTTAATGCTGATCCATTAATAAAACGATCATGCAATATCTGGAATCCATTTAAAGTGCCAAATTTGTTGAGTAGATCCACTAGCCAGCCCTGCAATACAATTAACAAGAAAGTTTATGTTTTTTTACTTTTAAGAAAAAGTACTATTTTGACTGATATATTAAAACCAATTAATGTCAAATCGTTCATGAAAAGACTTCAAAACATTCACAGTACTCCACCTGTGATGAAGCCTAAGTAGCAAGCACAAATTAAGTTATAGGAACACACAGCTTGTATCAGGATTGCTAATGAAGAATTAAAACCATGTTTCTGTCTCAGCAATCACTCTGTAAAATGTGGCTTTCCTAAGCACCTAAACACATGTATTAAAATAATTTATGGGGTTAAAAGGCTCAAGTAATAGATCAAGGAAAAGCATTAATCTAGCATTAAAATTTCTGAGTAAATCCTCCCATACCCAAAACAGAGTTTCTTTGTATAGCCCTGGCTGTCCAGGAACATACTCTGTAGACTAGGTTGGCCTTGAACTCACAGAGATCTGCCTGCCTTTGACTCCCCAAAAGAGTGCTAAGGATTAAAGGCATGTGCCACCAATCACCACACACGGGGCTTCTCCGTGTAATTCACTTTTTAGATCAGACTAGCCTCAAACCTTGAGACCCATCTATCTCTGTCTCTGGAATCAAAGTGTGCACACGCCATATTGTCTGACTAGATGTAACTTGTTTGAAGATTATCTTTACTTTGATGGTAACTAGATCTTACTCAAGCAAAAATAAGCCATCTAAAGGCAACGATATAAACTCAAAAAAATTAACAGTTCCAAGTTCAACACATTGCTGGTGATTTCAAGCTCTAACAAAATACACCAAACACTATATATATGACTTTCAATTTTTTCTGGCTGGTTAGGAAAAGGGAAAACAATCCCCAAATCTTAACAGTATCTCCCTAGGGACTAGATAGGTGACTCTGCTATTAGGCACTGAATACTCTTATAGACAATTAAGTTCAATTTCAAGCACCGGCATGGTATCTCTGTAACTCCAGTTCCAAGGGATCCAGTGCCCTCTTCTGGCCTCTGAAGTGCACAAGGTCTGCATATGGCATACAAACATACGTGCAAATTACTCATGCACATGCAATATAAACAAATCTTTAAAAAATTTCCCTAAAGTCTAAACTTGGAAACTATGTATTGCTAGTACTTACTAAGGGAAATAAAAACTATAAAAATATAAATTTAAAGCCGGGCGGTGGTGGCGCACGCCTTTAATCCCAGCACTCATGAGGCAGAGGCAGGCGGATCTCTGTGAGTTCGAGGCCGGGCTGGACGGACAGCCTCCAAAACAATACAGAGAAACAATGTCTCGTTAAAAAAAATATATATATAGATATATATATAAAAATTTTAAAGTATATAGTAAGCTATGTGGTGGTGGCGCACACCTTTAATACCAGCATTCAGGAGGCAGAGACAGGAGGATCTCAGAGTTTGAGGCCAGCCTGGTTTACAGAGTGAGTTCCAGGACAGTCAGGACTGTTTCACAGAGACAGCTGTCTCGACCACCTCGCCCTCCCCCAAAGGTATAAAGTAAGAAACTAAAGTATAGTCTGTTTATACTATTATAGAAAACTTATATTTGTTTTCAAGTATAGATTTTAGCAACATTTCTAAGTTTTGCCATCCTGCTTCTATTTTATAATTTCTATTATTTTTCTTTTGTGATGTATTACTAAGCATACATAACATATACCTATTTTTGGAGTTAAAAAAATCTTCATGGCCTTATTGATCCATACTTGAGGTTTTTAAGCAGTCATAGCTCTATTATTAATATTATAAAGAAAATAAATGTTTTATATTAACCAAATTATGACTTTCCACATTGAATAAAAGATAATAGGAATTAACTATACATGGAGTGGGGGGAAACCCATAAGCTCTGAACTACAATACTATGACTATGCAAAAAGGCTCCTAGTGCTATACATAGTTTCATTCAAGTCTTAAAGCACATTTGGTTGTCAGATCTCAACCATTATTACACAGAAAAACTAACAGTAGTAGAATACAATAGAACATACATAACTTTAGAATAAACTAATGAATTCAAACCATAATGCAAAATCCCTTTCAGAGAATAATTAAATTGGTGTTTTTCCATGTTTTAGCATGAGATTGAAATTACTTAAAAGTTTTGTGGTAGAAAAAAACAATCTTAATATTTAATTTTGAAGATAATAAACCAAGTTACTTTTGGTGATCGAGGGTCTGGAGAACGAGCGAAGAGTTCATCTTCAGGCACCTGAACACTTGCGGACACAGATTCACATGGACGTGTACCATTGTAGATATGGAACTTGCAATGAGGATTTAAGGCCATGGCAAGAAGTTCTAGAAGTGGAAACCAGTCTTGGGCCAACTTAGCCACACACAGCTCCACCAAGCGATGAGTATTGTTAATAATACATCTCTGTTATATATGGGAGAAAGATTGATTTAGAATGTGAAACATTGCAATTTCAAACAGAAGTTGTAATCCTAATTACCATTATCTTAATATTAACTGAACTCTCCATTTTTATACTGATTACTTGAATTATATTTAATCCACTAGTACCAAATTAATTTGCTTTATAATTTAAATGGCATGTACTTTCAAAAAGCTTCTTGCTTAAAAATGAAACAAGTACTATGAGTTGCTTCTACTTTGTCTTCAGACAAGATAGAAATTTCCATTTTTCCCTTCTTTTTGGAATTCTTACACTAGAAGCAACAGTTCTAAAATTGAAATAATATCAGTTACCCCAGATGGAAGACTATATACTAAAAAGCTCTGTATTTCTAAATCTGAGAAATTGTTATAATGGGACTTTTACCTCATCACTGTAATTGAAAAAATGTTCAGACCACACACAAAAAAACATATGCTTTATCACTATTTCCATAGTGAAACAAATTAACAGGTATGTAGCATTTACAACATCTTACCAGTCCAGATACAACTTCTTTCACTCTTTAAGCAAAATCTGATTGCTTTCTATAAATAACAAGCACTAAAGTATTTGCATTTGCTTTTGTTCATTGTTTGGAGATACCAGGGCCCTGAGACCACTTTAAGTAGTCTTTAAAGGGATGAAAATTTCAAATTGAATTCCAACTATAGAACTGTTTAAACAGTAACTCACGGCTTAACTACTTAGAAGTTTTATGTGTGAAAACTGAATATACATGTTTCTTTGCTGTGCTTTTCTGCAATGAACTCATTTCTCATTACTTTTACAACACTGACCTTTCTAGTGCCCCAGACATGTGTTACATTTTCCCCATCTTGGGCATTTTGTCTTAACAATATATAAAATAGCAGTACATCTTACAAATGTCTGTATCAGAATTTCAATAAAATGGGGTGATCTGCCTAAGGTCAAAAGGCCCTAGAGTACCAGGGAGAAAGATTATGCCAAGTATTTTTAACTATAAATCTCATGCTAGTTTTAAATTCCCATGTTGCCTCTAACAAATAATTTACTGTAAAATTACTTTAAAAGTTACACTTTTATACTCCAATAGGTCAATCAGATCTCTCTCTCCCCCACCTCAACCCAAAGGATCTTTATATAACCTGCTTTTTAAAAGTCAAAACAGAAAACTCACATGAATCTCAAACTTCCAACCACTCACTGCTTCATCTGTAAGGATTTTTGTGAATGAGATTGTTAACCCATCTCGGAAAAATCGCTGGCATGCTTCACTTTTAACATCAAGGCCTAAAAAAAGGGAGAAAAACCATAAACAATATTTCATAATGCCCAACTATGTGATGGAAGACATAATTGGAAACCTAGATGACAGGCTAACAGTTGAAGAGTACTTCAAGAAAAAAAATTTCACAGCATTATCATAACACTATTGCTATTTCAAAGTTTCTACATGTCAGAAAGGAAAATTAATTCAGAAATAAAATTTTAAAAGTATCATTTATAGAAATAGAAACACACACACACACACACACACACACACACACACACACACACACACACACACACACACACACACACACACACACACACACGAATTCTGTGAGGGCCTGGAGAGCATACCATATTTTACGCAGGTACTATTAAGAGGTCAGAAGCTGACATTACAAGTGGTTATAGGCCACCAGTAATGGGTGCTAGGAACTAAATTCTGGGTCCCCATCCCAAGAACACCAAACATTCAAAACTAACTGCTCAGCTATCTCTTCAGGCTTTCCAAATCAAATTCTAAAAATGATTATACAAAAGTTCATTCAATGTGATAGTATTAAATACCTCAGGGCTGGAGCGGCAGCTCAGTGCAAGAGTACCTAGTCTAACATGTACAAGGATCTTATGTTAATCATCAATGAAGTAAAAAAAAAAAAGGGAAACAAAATGCCATTTTTTTCTGAAAATAAGCCTTAAGTTTTACATTTAACAATTATTTTCAAAATGTTGGTTTGCAAACTATTTACTTAGCATCCACTCATACCTTCACTATTCTCCAAGTAACCAAGTAAGATAAATTATTTTGTCTTTGTTTCATTATCTAAACATCTCCCTTCTTCCAGGCCAAGAAGGTATTTTTCTCTTTTGCCTTCTTTTTTTAAAAATGCACTATTTGTGTGTGTGCGTGCACACATGCATAATGGGGGGGGGATATGCTATGGAGTGCATGTGGAGGTCAGAGAACAACTTCTGTGGAGCCACCTTTTTGTTTGTTTTTGGATTTTTTGAGACAGGGTTTCTCTGTGTAGCTTTGTAGACCAGGTTGGCCTCAAACTCAAGAGATTCGACTGTCTCTGTGCTAGGATTAAAGGCGTAGGCCACCACCGCCCGGTTTGATCCAACTACCTTTAAGTGGGCTCTAGGTATTGAATCCAGATCACCAGGCTATCTTGCCATCCCTACACTTCATCTGATCTGATTTAAGAAAGACAACAAAGCCATGTATTACCAAATACAAAGAATGCCTTTAATATCTTAATGTGTACAAAAATATTTGATTTTGATTGTACAATATGAGTGCCATTTAAACTTTAAAAAATTAAGCCTCATCTAAAATAAACTATGGTGCTCACAATACATATGGGAGAGGGATACAAATCCACTGAAACGTCAACAATATTAAATGAAATATCATGTTTTTATTACATAGTTAATGTTTAGATTATAACTAGCAAAGCTCATTCAAACTGAAAAACAATCATTATCTGATAACTTGTTTCATAGCTTTTCAAGATTGGCAAGTCATAGCAAGCATTTTTTAAACAGAGGAGTAACTAATGCGAGATAAAATTTCCCCTTGCTGGGGAAAAATGTTAACATTGACAATAACTAATACAAACTGATTATCGTTAGTTATGACATACCCAGGGTGGTTATGTTTTAGGTACATGTCCTCCAAAGGTTTGGTCACCACTCTGGTGATATGGGGACTTGGCAAACCCTTGTAAAAGGTAGAATCTAGTGAGAAATCTGAAAATAGCAGGGGTTTGCCCTCAAAGGAGATTGTGAGATTCCTTATCTTTCTCTTTATTTCCTGGACACCAAAAGGTGAGCAGCTTTGCTCTACCCACACGTTCTCTTGGCCCTAACACTATAAAATATCCAAAACTGTGAGCCAAAATAAATCTTTTCTGTTTATAAGTTGTTTGTTATTTGTCACAGTAATAAAAATATAATACAAAAGACTATTTTAGAAAACAAATGTTGCTTCTTTTAATTACCAGTGCCTTAGCCAGGCTGTGGCAGCACATATCTTTAATTCCAATACCCAGCACTTGGGAGGCAGAGGCAGGTGGCCTGGTCTACAGAGTGAGTTCCAGGACAGAGTCAGGGCTACTCAAGAAAAACCCTGTCGAGACCACCCCTCCCCAAACCCAGTGCCTTAAAATACAAGAGTACCACAACCATAGTCCTCTACTAAGACAATTCAGCCATATCAGAAATACACCAGAGTGGCTGGGCGGTGGTGGCGCACGCCTTTAATCCCAGCACTCAGGAGGCAGAGGCAAGCGGATCTCTGTGAGTTCGAGGCTGGGCTGGACTGACAGCGAAACCCTGTCTCGTAAAAAACAAAACAACAACAACAACAAAAAAAAAAACAACAAAAAAACCCCCAGTAATTTAACATTGTTCAGTTCCAACATTAACCTTTTTACTTCTGGCCAATTGAGCACCAGATTGCTTTTATTGGATTTTTAACTATTTCTTTTTACACAGAACCTCCTCTTAAAAAACACTTTGCTGGGCTCGGCCTGTAAAAAGAAACCAAGGCTGAAAACCATTCAGTCTCTGGGAACCACAGGGTGAAAGGAAAAGAATCAACTCTTGCACTTTCTTCATTGCCATGTATATCACAACTCCATACACAATGAACAAATAAAAAGAAATCACCAAAATTCTTTATTCAAAGAATCACAGATTAACAGTTATTCATCCTTTGCTTCAGGGAAGTTTAGTAATTTGCGCAAATTACTAATCTCAAGACAAAAAGTGCCTTAGGCTACTCACCATCCCCTTCTCCCACTTCCATAGCTAGCTAAACCCAAAAGATAGTTATTTGTACTAAGCATGTTTTGTGTGCATTATGGAATATTACAACAGGAATAAATCTTTGAGTGATTGCAAATCTATATAATTAACTTGCTTCCTTAGAACTACGAATAAATACATTTTCTGTCTAGGATTCTTGAGGGCTGTCCTTTTTAAACGAATGTGAGCTCTATCTGTAACCTTACTATGCACTTGTGTTTTAACAGAAAAATAAAGTTTTCAGTAAAAAAGTGAAAATGTATCTAGTAGCACGCATTTAGAAAAGCATGACACTGAGACATACCTTTCTTACTAAGATCAATAGCAGCTTCTAAAAGCACTTCTAATTCCCCTTTCGGCAAAACTGGAACGACCCATCGAGGCCTAGGAATTTATAAAATAAAGGTTATGCACTAAATAAAAGAGGTACTATAGTCAGTTACTAATTACAATAATTTATTTTGCAATAAAAATATTAGGGATTAACTAAAATAACATCAAATATTAAAACAGTGGGGCTGGGTGAATGGTTTGTTATAATTAAGCATCATTTGTTGTCTCTACAAACAGACTTTAATGTATCAATTATGCATCACAGAGGCCTATTATTAAATCTTCCCAGGAAAGGGCTTTCAGAATTATGGTTAGAAGAGCCATGCCTTGAACTTCTTCATAAAGAACAAAACCTTCAGGAGGCCAAGACTGACTTATGCCTCTTAATCTATCAACTTTTTCTAAAGAATCCACAGGTGACCCTCCCTTAAACAAGGACGCAGCCTTCTCTCTAACTTCAGTGTTGACCCAACCATCTGGCCACCCATCCTTTTCAAAGGCCTTGTCAATCATCACCATTTAACTCACTCACTGTTCCCTAGAATTAGTTAACTTTCTTCTAGCCAACCACTGAAATCTCTAAGAGCTAGTAAAATTCCCAACTGTTCTTGCCCCTTTGTTTAATAAAAGCAGTGTATTAATTACCTATAAAAATAAATAACTACCCATCATTTATATGTAAATATCCTTTGCATTTTCTTCCATAAGGAATTGTTTTTAGGCAACCTAGTATCTAGCCTGCATAATTTACCAACCACCGGACAAAACTAAAAAGTAACAATGCAACTTTCTGTTATGTCATCTCTGCTATTAACAATACTCAAGGGGAAAAAAAGAACAATCAAGGATCATTTTAAATATCCTTAACATTGACTTGACAATAATTCATCGCATGTGATTATTACAGGCTACTAGTAGAAACACATATATTCTGTTAAACACATTCCCTTTAAATGAGTCAATTCAAAGAATGTTTCAAACAAGTAAAACAAGTTAAAATTTTTAAGAATTTATATTTATAGAAAAATCAATAATAGTAAACACGAAAAAATGTACTGATTTATGTTAAGAGAAATTGTTAGTTGGGATATGTGGGGGGAGTAAAGCTGGGGACGCGTTAGGTAAATTTTATCTACTCACTATGTATTACATAACATACTTCTATGCTTAACAATCCATACTTATTACTAAAGAAATTGAGATTTTGGTTTGTGTGGTTCTTTTTTCCAGATAGGGTCTCACTATGTGGCTGTCCTGGAACTTACTATGTAGACCAGGCTGGCCTGAATGAAGAGATCTGCCTGCCTCTGCCTCCCAAGTGTTGAGATTAATGTTGTGTACTACCATGCCCAATTCACTTTCTCTTTAAATGCAAAGGACTTTTATTTCTCCACATGTGTTTGATAGTTTAGACTTTTACTATGCAAAATACAACAAAAAGTAAGGCAAAATGCCTATAAGAGAGTACGTTTTCATTATTCTTTTTAAAATGTTCCTTTTTTGCTGGGCGTTGGTGGCGCACGCCTTTAATCCCAGCACTCGGGAGGCAGAGGCAGGCAGATCTCTGTGAGTACGAGGCCAGGCTGGACCGACAGCCTCCAAAACAGAGAAACCCTGTCTTGTAAAACCAAAAAAAAAATTTCATTTTTAACTCATTTGTGTATGAGTATTATATCTGCATGTATGCTTGGTGCTGTTGGAGGCCAGAAGAGGTCACTGGACTCCCTGGGTATGGAATAACAGGTGACAGCTATGAGCTATCATGTGGATGCCAGGAACAGAACTGAGTCCTCTGGAAAAGCAGCAAGTACACTTAACGGCTCAGCCATTGCTCCAGTGCCCACTACTCTTTTTTTGGGGGGGTGGGCTTATAGAGCTCACACTACCCAGTTATGTCTATACTCAGACAGGGTTTTCTGACATGCTCTTCTGTTTCTTTACATTCTTTCCTTACTCTGAAGAACATCTTTAATGTGTCATTCTCTTGAGTCAGTATGAAGGGCATGCTCTAAGAAACTCCTTATGACCTGGTTTGCTTCAGGGCTACCCTAAAGTTAGTTAAGAATCAATATACTAATTGAAAAGAAGCTCATCAACTCTTAAAAAAGGCAAACTACATAAACAGTTCTACTTTGAAAATGAACAGCTAGGGTCATGTTGTTAACCTAAAAACTTCACTAATGTTTTTGCTCTTTTTCATTATATCCACCAAGAACCATGGGTTATAAAGTACTTGGCAGTGACTATGATGGGAAGATTAAGGCAGCAGATTCCTCTTCACTGTCTTTGTGTTACCCACAACAAATAGTGCTGAAAAACCTGGTTTTCTTATGCATTATACACACTAGAAACAAAACCAACTGACCTGTTAATCATATCATCTAACTTTGCCAAGTCAGTATGTGGAAATGCAGGTTCCTCATCTTCAATCTGTGGAGGGGCATCACCTTGACCTTGCTCATCAGGAGGAGTTGCTGGGGAATTCTCATTGGAAGAATCAGGCGATGAAGTCTTGATTAAAAATTAAACATTCCACATAAGTTTCTATAACACACACATACACACAGTCCAAACACTAAGAGATTAGCAGTATTTTTTAAATGTTAGTAGAGCATAAAACTTTTACAAAGATATCATTGAAAGCTTATAATTTAATATGTTCTGAATTACAAGTTTGTGCTGAATTACAAGATGAAGGAGCAACCTAATGAAGGACTTTTACACTTAAGATGGAGAACACTTCAGTTACCACATATAGCTAAGTCACCAAGGCAGAGAATTCAACTGCTGGAAGCCCCATACAAATAGCTAATTTGAAGTCTGTAAATTTAGAAACCTGTTTTATTTTTTAACATCTTTAATAACAAACCAACAAATAAAACACCAGGAATGACATTTTAATTGCCTTCTTGTGATCTTTTTATGAGCTAAAGAAAAAATAGACACATTATGTATAAATTTTGAATAAAATTGGGACTATATCTGTCCCTTTTCATTTGATATGAACTCAAAATTTTCAGGATTACATAAATTAAAACTAATGTAATATAATGAGTCTTTTGTCATGTATCAATCTTGTAGAAAACAAATTTTTCTTTAGGACAAGACACTAGAAATATTAACTACAACAGTATAGACAATTTCTTTTTAAAACTATTCACATACACTGTCTAGAACCTTCTCAGATACCACATCTGAGGAATGTAAATCCTACTTGTCAGTTTTTATGACATACTAGAAGTCGTAAAATTTATTCTATATGCACAGATTTTAAAGTTAAAAATTTGATTAAGAAATTCCCTTTATGGGCCAGCAAGAGAGGACCAAACCTCATTACAGATGATTTGTGAGCCACCATGTGGTTGCTGGGAATTGAATTCAGGACCTCTGAAGAGCAGCCAGTGCTCTTAACCTTTAAGCCACCTCATCGCTCTAGCCCCATAACACATGTTTTAAATTCTAGCACTTGGGAGGCAAAGACAAAGGCTTTCTGGGTTTAAGGCAAGCCTGGTTTATATAGGGAGTTCCAGGACAGCCAGAGCTACATAGTGAGACTCCCTGTCTCAAAAGTGTAATGTTAATGAACAGGAATTCTTTTCACTGAAAGCCCTGCAAAACCATGAAAATTGCAAAAAAGAGGTTAGAATACACACACACACACACACACACACACACACACACACACACACACACACACACACACTCACTCTACAGGTAATAAAGCAGAAAAGAGAAAGAAACTACTAGTCCCTAGTTTAAAAATAGCACTTTGACTATATTTAAAGAAACTTAAATACTGGCCTTCAAATTTATGGGACAGTAAGACTTTCTGTGTCAAGTTTTGTGACCACAATGTTACCATTTTATGTCTCAAAATTGGGAACCAGAAAAGGAAATGAATTAACAAAATTGGCGCACTTGGGTGGGAGGACCTGGCTTGCCCCAAATCACAAATATAAGTACTCTACAATAACAACACTTTTGTTTTAAAAACATCCATATAAACCTCTGAAAATGGCTGGGCGGTGGTGGCTCACACCTTTAATCCCAGCACTTGGGAGGTAGAGGCATGCGAAACAATACAGAGAAACCCTGCCTCGTAAAACCAAAAAAAAAAAAAAAAAAAAACAACAACAACAACAACAAAAAACCCTGAAAATGTGTTTCTCTATAAACAGCATGTCTGTTACTCATGTTTATACAACCTCAACTAGTTTATTCATAACAGTACTACAAGAGCTGCATTATCACAAATCTTACTCTTTATATTATTCAACTTAATTCTTCAAAGTATGAAACTGTATAGATTAGAAAGGGCTGAATTAAATCTCAGGAGATGAAAACAAGAAAATTTTAAAAAGTAGAGAAGAACAATCAGATAAGAGTAAAAGCACATGGTGTGTTTTAGGTGAGTTATCAAAAGTCCTAACTTGGGGGGGGGCATTAATGAAATTGGTAAGCCCCTAGGAAAGATTGATCAGGAGAGAGAATACAAGTTAGCAGTAAGTATCAAAGATGAACAAAGACACACTATCACAAGCCCCCAATATACTAAAAAAAATTGTGAAAAGGGTATTACAGGATCTGGGTGAGAAGCAGTTTCAAGTTATATAGTACACACTGAGCATATGCAAGAACCTGAGTTCTATCCCAGCACACAAGGGCACAGACAGCATTATAAACAACTGCATCTAAATAAAGTTTGCATTCTAGATTCTAGATCAATCAGATAGTTCTTGGTTTTTTTTTTTTAAAGAAAATTCTTCTTTAAAAAGATGGATCTAGACTGGGCATAGTGGTGCACACTTTGACCCCAGAACTTGGGAAGCAGAAATAGGTGGATCTCCAAGCTTGAGACCAACCTGGTTTACATTTTAAGTTCCAGGACAGCAAGGGCTTGCATAGAAAACACCCTGTCTCAAAAAAAAAAAATCCAAACAAAAAAACCTGCTTACTGCTCAGACAATGCCATGAAATTCCACTGTTGTCCTTATCGTACAAATGAAGAAACCGGGGCTTAGCAATTATCTAATTTACTCAGTCAGAAAGCTGTTATGGTGTAAACGTGATATTAAACACCATACTCTTTAGCAGGGGAGTGGTGGCACACCCTTTAAATCCTAGCACTTGGGAGGTAGAGGCAGGCAGATCTCTGGAGTTCGACGCTAGCATGGTCAACAAGAGCTAGTTCCAACACAGGCTCCAAAGCTACATCCTATCTTGAAAAACAACAACAAAAAACACTCTTTAAAATATTATGTATATGGCATTTTAGATGGAGCTATGATTTACTTGGTCCCATAGGCTAAACAATACAATGGTGTCTCTCAGAATCAGCACAGGGTTTAAATCATTCATTTTATTGAAGACTGACAATGCAAGACATTTGAAAAAGACAGGAAAAAGTCAATGCTGTTTCCAGTGCTTGAGTTTTTTTGTTAGTGCTGAAGACCTGTATTTACTTTTCTTAAACAAAACATTCATTTTATGGTTGCTTCACAATCATTTCTATCTTGTTTTCACACTCAAGAGTACAGGAGATACACCAATGTGTCTTTACTAGAATCATTAATGTCTTACCTGATTCTGTTGGAGGGGGGGCTGAGACTGTCCATCAGGAGCTTGGCCCTGGTTGTCATTCCCTCCAACTGGAGAGCCACGAGTCGTGGCTGTCATACTCGACACAGGGCAGATCTTTGCAATTTTGTCTGCTTATGTAGCTGTCTTAAGAAAAGAAATTATAGTCCACTTATAGAAGATGAAGTACCAGCATTTGTCAGTCTTAAGAAGCTCCAATTCAAGAATAAAACATCTTGCAGAGACCATTGCATAACCTATAAGTAGAAGGGAAAAGAGAACATTTTATTTTAGATATAACTAACATGAACTAAAAAAAAACTATTCAAGTTTAGTATCATCAGTGAATCAGGTCAAGAGAACATAACATAAGTGAAAAATCTAAAGTTTCATTACTATATTCAACTTAAACTAGCAATGGTTCCGTAGCTATTATACCATAAAACCATACAAGTCTAGCTTTATCAAGTAATATTTCAATTTTTCCCCTGGAACTAACTCCAAAGGCAGTATCAAGAGTTAGCTGCCATTCAGTTAAATCATGGAATGGTAAACTGCTCTTACCTGGCTAATACTGCAAAATCACTCGGGACATGTAGCACAAACTGACTTGTAAGTTCTAAGAAAGTCCGGTCATCTAACAAAGATAGCAACAAGTTCTCCAAGACACACGCACGCACCCAAACCTATAAATCCAAACCTCGGATTTCAAATTCTGTATTGTCAGAAATCCAAGCTCTAATGTTTATGTCCCATTCTCATTCCCAAATCAAAAGACCTCAAATCTCACACTTTTTTTGGGGGGAGGATTTTCTTTGTAAAGAATAAACTGTAACGTACTACCTAATACTGAATTCATCAAGTAACCTTAGTTTTCCACTTTTGATAACGTTTTCATAACAAGCACTCCTGGAGTTCTATCAAGACAACAGGTCCCAACCACTTAAAAAAAGCATTCTTTGCAAACCAACAAAAAGTACACATGCTACCAAAACTTTAATTCCATATTCATTAGACCACAGAGTTTCTTTTGGTCTGCAAAGCAAAAGCATCTGATATTTTTCAAGAGGTGCTTTAATGGCAGTGATGTCCAGGTTCCTCATCAGGTGGAATAAGGCCTATACTGCATTTTAAAAACAAAAAAATCTCTCTTGTGATTGAGTCTAATGTGCCACCAGATTGAGAAACTGAGTCTTAATCTGTATTTAGGTCTAATTTTCACCTTGCCCATAATAGCCCACGTATCCTAAAACTGAAGTATCACCTAACTCAGTTAACTCATTGGCTCTTTGCTTCAGCATCATAGCTATAAAGTACAAGAGGTTTTCAAGCACTTTATACACTCATTTGTTTCTCCCTTCTGTGTACTATAGAAGGTTAAGTATTGTTCTCCCCTTTCAGAGTCAAAAATAAGAGCTGTAGTTTATTCAAATCTATTCAGAGCCAAATCTAATTTGTATCTATCTCTACATTATAACTTCTTTAAGTAAAAAAAGAAAGACAAAGTGTACCTTTATCAGTGGATTAATGAAGAAAATGAAATGATGACTGGTTATAGGTCTCTGATAGAAAACTTTCAATACTTCATATGTAAGGCTGTTTTGCCTGTGCAAGCAGTGACCTCAGAGGCCAGAAGAGGGAGACAGATTACATAAACTGGAGCCACCATGAGTTCTGGGAAACACAACCAGGAAGCTCTGGTCTCCTGTAACTGTTTGTGATCGGTCATGTGGGTCCTGGGAATTGAACCATGACCTCTGAAAGATCAGTAAACCACACCAAAGCATCTTTCTTGCCAATCATACACATAGACACACTGACAAGACATACCTCCTTCCTTATGTATGTATTCCAAAGTCCTAACCTATAGTCAAACCAAAACTATTTGGCAAAAGTGATGAGAAAAATCATCCCAGATAAAAGTACCATGCATTGATTACTAAGGGGCAAAACTACAGAAACCTATCAATTTTGAATTGAACTTTTCAATGAATTAAAAACTTAACTAGTTATATTAATAAAAAATGACATTTTTTAAAAATTGAGTTTTTCAAAAATAAACTGGGGATAGCTCAGTGCATAAATACCTGCTCCACAAGCAGAAGGGCCTGAGTTTAATCCTTAGCACCCCATAAATAGCCAGGAAAAGCAGCACGTGCTCTTGATCTCAGTACTGGGAGATAGAGGTAGGAAGATACCTGGAGTTTGCTGAATCTTTGTGTTCCAGTTCAGTTAGTGAGAGTGCTTGCCACCAAGCCTGACAACTTGAGTTTGATCCCTGGGATCCACATGGTGGAAAGAAAGATCCAATTTTTTGCAGGCTGTCCTCTTACCTCCACACACATGCTGTGGCACACGTGCACCCACACATGCAATAAGAGATTTAAAGGGGATGGAGAGATAAAAGCAGTTAAGAGCACTGGCTGATCTTGTAGAGGACTCAGGTTAAGATTCCCAGCATCCAGCCAGGCGGTGGTGGCGCACGCCTTTAATCCCAGCACTCAGTAGGCTGAGGCAGGTGGATCTCTGTGAGTTTGAGGCCCGGCTGGACCGACAGCCTCCAAAACAATACAGAGAAACCCTGTCTCGTAAAACCAAAGAAAAAAAAAAAAAAAGATTCCCAGCATCCACAAGACAGTCCATAATCCTCTGTAACTTCCAGGGGATCAGATAACCACCTCTGGCTTTCTCAAAAACCAGGCATGCATGTGGTATATAGACATATATGTAGGTAAAACACCCAACACATAATTTTTTTAATTAAAAGTAAATTTTAAAAAATTAATAAGGTGGAACGTAATTAAGGAAGGTAAGCCAACATTGACCTCTGGTACCCACAAAGACACACAAAAATTCATAAAAATTATTATTCAATGGGTACATGAAACGTCGTGCTATGGAATCTGACAGTATATTTACAATTTAACAATTTAGCTCATAGCCATTAACATAAACATCTCTAAGCAATCTTGTTTTTAAAAAATTTTTCCAAGACAGGGTTTCTCCATGTAGCTTTGGAGGCTGTCCTATAACTCGCTCTGTAGACCAGGCTGGTCTCGAGCTCACAGAGATCCACCCACCTCTACTACTACTACCACCACCACCACTATCACCACCACCATTGGTGCACGCCTTTAATCCCAGCACTTCAGAGGCAGAGGCAGGTGGATCTCTGAGTCTGGTCTGTACAGCAAGTTCCAGGACAGCCAGTGACACACAGAGAAACCCTGCCTCAAGAGAAAACAAAAAAAAAACCAAAAAACAAAACAGCTGCAACAAACAAAAAACAAAAAGGCGGGGAGAAAATCTGAAGTTATATTTTAATTTTCTTTGGTTGGCATGTGGGATATCAGGGTGCATAAACAAGCCTCAGGGGACAATTTGCTAAGACTCAGGTCTCATCTTCCTCCATATATGTAAGTCCTAGAGTCATGAGGTTTGGAGGCAGGGACCTTTTTCTGCTGAGTCTTTTCAACCAGCTTTTCTCTAAGCAGTTTTTAAACTTATCCTTTCCTCAAGAATAAGTGGTGGTAGCACACGCCTTTAATCCCAGCACTCAGGAGGCAGAGGCAGGCGGATCTCTGTGAGTTTGAGGCCGGGCTGGACCGATAGCCTCAAAAACAATAAAGAGAAACCCTGTCTCGTAAAAACCAAAAAAAAAAAAAAAAAAAAAAGAATAAAAGATTTCATTGTCCTAGCTCCCAATACTCCTGTAGTTATCAGTATATGATGTCATCATTCTGAATTCTTATGATTCAAAACATTAAGAACAGTTTCCAAGTGTGATGCCAGTTCTAGACAACTTCACAACCAATCAATTCAGAAAATGCAAATGAAGAGGTTCAATTACTTTTTGGTAGATGTCAACTAAATGTTTACATTCTGTTTTCAACACTATTTAAAGCCCTCCACATATATTTGTAACTAAGTCACTGCCATCTATCTATGACTCTTTCCTAAGGATAACTTCTTAGAAGTCCTAACAGACCTGCACCCTGCACTTGAAATTCCTTATGACAATAGAAATGTACTGAACTTAGAAATGCTTGATAATTAGCCGAATTCTCTTATTCAGGCTTTCTCCATAGTGAGGTCTGTCAAGTTCTACATATACAATTATGGCACTGAAAGGTTTAGCAGATGTTAGCATCCTTTCTAGGCATTTTCAAAACCAACTTTACAGTGGTTATTGTTAATTTGACAAATTTGAAACTAAAAGTGACCTCAAGAATGCTGACATCAGAAGTTCTGTCTGGCAGTTTCCTCAGTAAACATACCAACAGCAGATGGAAAAAAAATAAGTCTCTGGGAATTGTGGTAAGGACATAAAATAAACTACAAAACTTTTGATCAAGAAAAATCTACTGTATCAAGGTAAGAACAAAGCCTGGCATTTAAACCACTACCATTTCATTGCAGAGGAGCACACCAAAGAATAGGGGTCTCTCCCATTCTAGTTAATGGTATCTCCTGAAAAGAAAGCAGCTAGATTTAGAGCTCTGGGGCTCTTTTGTTCTACCCAGGGCCCACTTGTGGGACACAAGTTCTACTGCAAAGACAGCAAGCCAAGAGCACAACAGTCCTAGGCTTTGACCCCAATTCATCCAAAGGGTTAAGGTTCCAAGGTAGGAGACAGGCTGAGAGTGACAGAGTGGATGCTGCCTCCATGAAACACTCTGCTCAGAAGAAGTAGGGGCTTTAAGTATGACAGAAGCCAGCTACAGTCTGCTGCTTCAGTACTGAAGTGGTGTAAAGGTTCCACCAGGGGGAAAGAAAGAAATCTCTTAAGTTTTCTTATAATAAATTGGCCTTATTTCAATTAAGATGTTGGTAGTTCCATAAAAGCCAGTAAATTAAACTATCCAGCTAGCATAGCAGTTTACCAAAGAGAACAAGAGAAATGGAGCTACAAACCACCCTGGATCAGAATAGAACTTTAAAAACCAGCACAAAGGATTATCCCTGAAAAAATGAGAACTTAATTGAATCATGGATCAGATTGAGGGAAATTTTATAACCCAACATAACATGTAAAACAACAGATCAGTAGGTAATTAGTAAAAGCTAATAGTTGAGTGGAAGAGTGGGCAGGCAAAGACAAGACACACACAGTGCTTGTTAGAACACTAAACAGAGACAGAGACTCAAAGTGTTGCTGTATGTCACCCCCAAGTGATTGTGTACATGACTTCGGTTATATAGGGTACTATAGGCTATAATTAGGAAATGGCATTTATTAAAGTTGTTCAGCTAGTTA